AAAGCAAACACACTTGTTGTAAAAAATGAACAGACAGGCATAATGCAAGCTTTTCGCTTTACGCTTTGTTTTGAATAATTATATAGATTTACTAAACACTGGCTTCTTATCTAATCAAGCTGGCAGTTTGTATTTTGTAACTCAGCTACAATGTATAAGAAAAACACACAAACTTTCTTTTCAGTTTGCCTCTTTTTGAAAAGCAACACTGAAGCCACTCTGTGCAGCACTTGCATTGTCAGCTTCACTGTGCGGAGCTCTATCGTTTTGGTTTGAGAATTGAATCGGCCATGTGACGTCAAACTCGGAAATTATTTCATGCATGATTTAAAAACATTCGAGGTACTGTCCCTTTAATACTCATCTTGATGAGGACTTAAGTAACCATGGTTACATTAGACCAGATATTTTATTTTTGTTGGTAAAACTATTGTTATGTCAATACTTAAACATCAGCTTACAATATTATGGCGATAACATCTTGTTCCGCAAGTAGGTCAAAGCATTCTTATCACACCAAATATCGTAAGCCTATGGTAAAGTGTTGGAGCTACGATCACCTTAGCGCTAAGTTAGCTTTGTGGAGAGAGGCCCTAGGTTGTTGCACATGATCTTAGCCCCATGACTACTTAATGTTTAAAGTATGGGAGTTATGATCGTCTTAGTACTAAGATCACTTTGTGATTGTTGGTCTTTTGCAGTGTTACACAAGAGGATTTAAGCGATACAAATATTGTAAATCAGTAGGAAACAATGGGAGTTAATAAGATCATCTTGGTACTAAGATTGCTCTGTGCAGTGGGACTAGGGCCCCGTTCCAGAAAGTGAACTTAGCGCTAAGGTGATCGTAACTACCATACTTTAACATAGGCTTACGATCATCGTCGCGCTAAGATCACTTTGTGGAATGGGGTTCAGGGCCCCGTTCCTCAAAGCGATCTTAGCGCTAAGGTGATCGTAAGTCCCATACTTTAACATAGGCTTACGATCATTGTAGCGCTAAGGTGGCTTTGAGGAACGGGGCCCAGGTCTGTTAAAGGGCAAGTTCACACGGAAATGAACCTATTTTTCTTGTACTTTTTCCACATTAAAAGTGTTAACCTAGTAGTGTCATAGACAAAAATATAAAAATATCACAATTAATTAACATATGTTTTGCATTAAAACGATTTATATTTTTCACATTTACCAAGTGTTCTATTTTCATAACAAAAACACCATGGCTTATGCCCCTTGCAATATGACGTCATTGGTGCCAACTGATAAACATTATGACGTCATCATGCTATGTTAGAGCCGCTTCACGTGGTGTAGGTACAGCTGTGTGATTCTAGCGTCTCAGATGCCAGCCAGCATAGTGTTATGCTGAGTCACCACTGCGCCGGAGTGTGTCGTAGGCCATGTTGTTTTACCGAAAACTGGTACTTGATATTTTTTGCGTTGAGAATAGACAGGGATCCAGTTCGAAAAACAAAGGCCTCATAACGGCATATCATTTTCACACTATTGTGAGCTTCCTACTTTCACTGTGAAAAAAATGAGTTTACATTTTCAAACACAGATATTAACTAATTCTAAAATTGCGTTTTGTTTAGAAAAAGAAAGAAAGTGATTTTTGCGTGTACACTTCCCCTTTAAAGACAAAGCCATTTTAGCATTACAAATACTGTAAATCTGTGTTAACAATGGGAGTTTATAAGATCATCTCGGTACTAAGATCGCTCTGTGTAGTGGGACCAGGGCTGTTAAACACAAAGCGATTTTAGCATTACAAATAATGAAAATCTGTGTTAATAAGATCATCTTGGTACTAAGATTGCTCTGTGCAGTGGGACCAGGGCTGTTAAACACAAAGTGATTTTAGCATTACAAATAATGAAAATCTGTGTTAATAAGATCATCTTGGTACTAAGATCGCTCTGTGTAGTGGGACCAGGGCTGTTAAACACAAAGCGATTTTAGCATTACAAATAATGAAAATCTGTGTTAATAAGATCATCTTGGTACTAAGATTGCTCTGTGCAGTGGGACCAGGGCTGTTAAACACAAAGTGATTTTAGCATTACAAATACTGTAAATCTGTGTTAATAAGATCATCTTGGTACTAAGACCACTGAAATGGGCCCTGGTTCATCTATGTGGGAAAAAGGAGAACACATTTCAGTTTCGTCTTTTTTCCTTTTGTTCTTCAAAAGGGTCAGTGTAAATATGAGTAGTGTTTCAGGACTCCCCAATTTACCAGTTTCGCCTATTGAATGCATGCTAGATTTCAAGGTGAGGACAGTTACCTCCCTTTAGTACTTGAATAACAGATGAAATGTTGAACTAAAATAACTATTTGAAACTAACAACGTCTTCCCAGTGAAGTATATTCCTCAGGTAGCTTTGATTATCTCTGCAGTTTAAACACAGATGTCGATAGTTGTACCCTGTACAATCGGGCAACACTCTTCGTTATGTATATGACAAAATACAAGTATGACTGTACACTATCAGTCTCATTAAAATCAAATCTTAGTTCTCACTACCGCCATACAAAGATCTGAGGACACCCCATCATGGGTTAGTCAATCCTTTCATCTGACCAATCACAGCGTCACTTTCCAAATCAGGAAAGTGACAGTCGAAATGTTTTTTTCTATTCATGCAACCTCGAAAAGGTTAACACGTGGGTATTCCAAACGACAGAGAGTGAGTGAGTGAGTGAGTGAGTGAGTGAGTGAGTGAGTTGGGTTTAATGCCGCTTTTAACATTATTCCAGTTATATCATGGCGTGTCAGCTTAATGTGGGAGGAAAGCCCGAAGTGATGCAGGTCTCAGACATTAACCACTTCGGTGAAACCCACGAGCACGGGTATGGTGCTGACAAACCTAAACATAATCTGTGTGGCCAAGGGATGCAACTCTGCACAGCGAATCGCGGCGCCTTAGACGACTGGGCCACCTGTGCTACCCCCAAACGACAGTATGGGCTGTACGAGTGAATCATTGTCTTTCTTTCGCTTCAATAGGATAGACATTTGAACGGAAAAGACCTCGCATAGCCCTGTGAAATACTATCCTACAATTTCAGTCATCTATTAGACATTCCAGAATGTTCTTTCGTTCAATCCTCAAATTCTGAATCGAGAACTTTGTCAAGATATTTTTCAAAGTGTAGTCTGGAATGGAGGTTGCCAGTTTGAAACGAGTGCTGTATATCCTGAGAAAGCTGCTTTCTGATTGGCTAATGTTGATTTATTGTTAGTCATTTCATTGGTCGGTCAAAGTTTTGCAAAAGGTCATTGTGATGTGATCTGTAATGGAATGTCCTTAGAACTAACATCTGATTTTAATAAGATTGGTACAATATACAATATATATGACTGTATAATATTAAATATGTATGACTGTACAATATTCAGTATGTATGACTATATAATATTTTGTACCTACAGATTAAAGTCTTGCTTCTGTCAGCAGTTCAATACTGTTTGAGTTAGGACATCTCTGATAAACATGCAGCACACTTAAAGCAAAGAATGGCAAACAACCACAACGCTTTTTAGCAATCACTGACTAAGATTCTTCCCGTAATTTTTTTCAGCAAAGGACAGGTTAATTTTTTCAAACAAAACACTGTGTTTCTTTGAAAATATGACTTATTTTAGTATCATGTTAATATTATTTTAATATGTGTTATTACTTTATGAAGACAATAACTGCTTGTCAACCGAGAACTGTTTAATATTCATTTTGACTTCTGCATCTTAATGTGTTCGCTGAATCACAAAAAAACAACCAGCTTACTCTTTTCAAATCAACTTCAATTAATTATTTTACAATGAATATTATATCTAAACATTAAATCCATGACAGCTCATGTGGGTTGAGACGAAGTTTAAAGTACAGTAAACTATGGTTTATAACGAACTCAAAGGGACCACTAATTTTAGTTTGTTATAACCGTTGTTCGTTATTTGCATTTTGACCCTCGGACATCTCAGAACATTTGGGTGGGCGGGGCAGTTATCTACCAGTACCAGGATGTTTCTCGTCATGGACTTGTCTAATTCCATAGCCTTATCACTGTACGTGTTACTATTGATAATTGTGGGTGTACTTGATGACCACTTAAGAGTAAATCAATTGCCTTCAATTGCTTTGAACAGCAGCGCTTGGCCGCGGATGTTTTGATAGGCAGATTGGTGCTCAGCTCAGGGATTAACAGTTCGTTATACACTTAAACATCATCGTTGACAGAGTACACATGGGACCAGAAGGTGAATTCGCTATATCTGTTATTTTTTAATAAGCTTGTTCGTTATGTCCATCAATTTTAAATGATAAAATATACAGCAAATGACCTGGACTAAACAAACAATTCGTTATATCTGTCAGTTTGTTATAAGCATGTTCGTTATAAACCTAGTTTACTGTAGTTTAAAGTTAGTCCAATGTGTCCTCATTAAGTGCCAAAGATTGTTAGTGATTATCATAGGACATTCAGTTTGCTAAATCAATCATGACTTTTGTCAAAAAATGGACAAAAAACAACTTAAAACATTTAAAAAAAATAGACATCACTGTAACAAGATGGTCTCTCACCAATATCATTAAAATCAGATCTTAGTTCTCGCAACCACCAAACAAAGATCTGAAGACATCCCATTACGGGTCACGTCAGAACGATCTTTTATCCGACCAATCAGAGTGTCACTTACAAGATCATGAAAGTGACATTCGGAATGAGAATTCTGATTATGCAACCTTGAAAACTTTCACACGGGATATTCCGAACGATAGATATGGGTTGAATGACTGAATCCATACAATCTAGACCATCTATTAGCCATTCCAATTTGTAATCGAGAATTTTTCAAAATATGTTTCGATGCGTAGTCGGCAATTTGAAATTTGTGCTGTAAAGCACGAGAAAGCTGCCTTCTGATTGACTAATGTCGACTTCTTGTCAGTCCTTCTATCGGTCGGTCAAAGTTCGCGCAAGGTCGGTTTGACGTGACCCGTAATGGGATGTCCTCAGATCTTTGTTTAGCGGTAGCGAGAACTAAGATCTGATTTTAATGATATTGGTCTCTCACACTCTTCAAATAGATTAATGTTTGTACAATATAACACTGTGCCATGTTAATTCCATAAAGTATATATAAATATATAATAGACTTAACATTGTAACCATGGTAACAAGCTGCTAAGCAGACAATACACACACCTGAACAAAAACAATGTTTTACATCATTTGTATTGATTAATGAATTTTCTTTGAGAAATTCACTGAAAAATAATTTATGGGAGCATCGTGACAACCCTTGTGATCTTGGGTGGCTGTAACTTACTGCAGATTGCAGTATCTGATGCTATACACTCCTACAGGTGATAACAAACATGACTAAGTAAACAAACAAACATCAGGACAAATATAGTTCACATAGTATATCAAAAGGATGTACCATATTCACTGTATTAACCCCACTGCTCCCATGGACTTCCCCTGACAAACTTTTAGACCAATCTGTAATCTAAAAAAGTGCCCCCTACAACGATTTTATTTATTTTTTTAGTCCATATTTTCTTGAGTACATTACAGATTCTGTTACAGAAAACTGCAGTGCAGGAGGGGTATAGATTTGTCCAGTAATCACTTTTGGAAAAGTTTTAGTTTAATTAACTCTTGCTTATCTGAAAAGACACTGTGTATGTTTTTTGTAAGCGCAGCGTCTTTGTCAAGTTTTTAAGCCACAAGGACGGTTAATAAGTAAATATGGTAATTCAAATTAACAGGTGATGTCGGAAAATTGCAGAAAAATGTCCCAAGCAACATTAATGATAGAAACATCCAACTCTGAGGGAAGACAAAGGGACCTGTCATAAAATAGCAGGGTACAATAAACCCTCTCACGCTTGCACTCCCACAATACTGACAGGATCCCGGCTGGGCACCTTCACAACACAAAGAATCAGCATCAAATGCATGTATGTAGTCCAGAGGTTGAAGCTGACCTTGACCTTTTAGCCACCAATCTCAATAAAGTCCATTCTTTCACCCAATTCCTCTGATGACACCTCCACAGACGGTCGTATCAGGTGAACCCTGAGAGAACTGTAACCCCCCATTCTAAGTTTGTTTTCAAGATACAGAAATCAGATATGCGGTTCTGAATGCTTTACTCACTCGTACCGAGAATTTAGAAGCCATTGGCAGTTAGAAAGCTCCCCTGTGGAGGTGTTGTACAGTTACATGCAGAGAGGTATAGTTTCCGAGCAAAAGATCTGATTTTGTCACTATAAGCTTTTATATCTTCTACTTTCCTTTTGATTCATAAGGAGGTGGTTGGGTAGCCTCATGGTTAAAGCATTCGCTCGCCACACTGAAGGCCTGGGTTCAATTTCCCATATGGGTACAATGTGTGAAGCCCATTTCTGGTATCCCCACCGTTAAAATGCTGGAATATTGCTAATAGCAGCATAAAACTATACTCACTTACTCATAAGAATTTGACCTTGTTTAATGTCTGCTACACTTTAACCTTTTTAAAAAAAAGTCTGCCCTTGACCTTGTTTCACAAGTCTGCTACACTTTGACCTTGACCTTGTTTCACAAGTCTGCTACACTTCGACCTTGACCTTGTTTCACAAGTCTGCTACACTTCAACCTTGACCTTGTTTCACAAGTCTGCTACACTTCAACCTTGACCTTGTTTCACAAGTCTGCTACACTTCAACCTTGACCTATTTTCACAAGTCTGCTACACATCATCCTTACTTAGGCTTACAAACCTGAAATACCTTGTTTCACATCAACCTTCACCTTGTATCAAAAGTCGGCTACACAATGACCTTGACATTTACATGTCTGCTGGATGATGACCTTCACCTCCTCCAAGCTGTCCATGAGGGTGCAGGGGGGGAAACACAGGAGGACCATGGTCATGATTGTGTAGGTGAGCGGGCATGGGATTGATTGGTGGTTGGAGAGGCTGGAGATGGGACGACACTGTGACCAGAGGCTGCAGGGTGTGGGACTGACCAAGAGCAGTCTGCATCGGGTCGGGCTGATGAGGGACTCCAGCGTTCAACATATGGTGCGATGGGCTCTCCCTGTGGGGTGAGGCAGGGCAGGGGTAGTTCCGGGGGGACAGAGGAGGCTGATACATCCCCGCTGATGGGGACATGGGAGCTTGGTACACATGGGCGCTGGGAGACACAGGTGCTTGGTACACTGGCTGGGGAGGGGAGACTGGAGACGGTTGGTAGTTGATTGGTAGCTGCATATTCACACCCCGAGGAGTTTGGTGGATTGAGGTTTGATTGTGGCTTGTCTGAGGGTACACTGATGCATCCTGGGTTTGCGTTGATACCTTCGGAGCATGAAGCTGAACGTCGGTTTCAGCTTTGGATAACATCTGTCTAGACAACTCTAATGACTTCTCAGCTATTTCTTGAATATCTTGATTATCGCCGGATGTTAAGATCTCCACAATGAATTCAGATGCATCCAGGCCACCAAGTTCTTTGCCGTGACTCTTGATGTGTGTTCTCATGTTGTCAGCTCTTGTCCCGACCTTCCGACAAAGCTTACAAATAAACTGCTTCTGTGGTGAATGAATGGTCCTGATGTGCTTGGTGAGTCCACCTTTGTCTGGGAAGCAAGCCCCACAAGTTGAACACATGAAGTTTTTCTTGGCATTGTGGCGTTTCTCATGAGCCTTGCAACAGTTCTTGGTCTTGAAGGTCTTTGTGCAAATGCCACATTTGAATGGCGTTGTTGTCTTGTGGGTATACTGGTGGGTGTAGAGGGAGGACATGCACTTGAATGACTTCTGACAGACGTTGCAAACAAACGGCCGCTCATCCTGATGAACGAATGAGTGTGCCTCGAGGTTACTCTTGAACATGAACTGACGGCCGCAGATGTCACACATGAACCTGTTCACATCACTCGTGTGACGTCGCCGGTGGACATTTCGCAGATGTTCAGACTTATAGAATTTCAAGCAGATGTCACACTGGAAGTTCCTCTCTTGAACATGGTACGACTCCTCGTGAGTCTTCAGCGCTTGTCTGGTGACGAAGCCCTTCTCACAGATGCTGCACTTGTATGGCCGATCCCCCGTGTGGATCATCTGGTGAGTCTTGAGGCTGTTCCTGTAGGTGAAGGTCTTCCCGCAGGTATCACACACAAACTGACTCATAGTCCCAGTCTCATGGATGGCCTCCTTGTGTGCCTTCAAGTGGGTTGCAGTCAGGTAGGACTTCTGGCACTGATCACACTGGTAAGGCCGCTCGCCGCGATGCTTCCTCATATGCAGCTTGTAGCTGTGGTGAAAGTTGAAGGTCGTTCCACACTCCTCGCATGAATACGGCTTTGTGGAGCTGTGGAGGCCTCGTTTATGATGAGTCAGCGAATCCATAGAGGAGAATGGTTTCCCACACTCATCACACTGAAAACTCTTCCAGTGACGATCAGAGTGTCTCTTATATGCTCTCTTTGTATCAAACTTCTTTTGGCATAGTGTGCATGTTAAGTCAGCTGGTATTGGTTGCTGTGGCTCTTTTTTCGAATCTTTCTTCACTTTCGTCTTTGGCTTGACAGATGTCAGCTGTTTCAACTTAATTTTCAGTGACAGTTTGGCAGCAGTTTTTCTTCCTCTCTTTTTTGGAACAACAGATTTTGTGACAAGCTTCCTCTTGAGGCCAGGCTTCCTCTTACTTCTCCGTTTGGATTCCAACCAGTCTTCATCATTATCAGCTTCTTCATCGTTGTCAGCCTCTTCCTCATTGCCATCTTCCCCCTCTGCATCATCGGCTACAGCAGCCTCTTCTCCAATCTCGGGCAGGTAGTCTTCGTCCTTCTTGTCCTCATTGTCCTCCTCAGCATTGTCCTCATCCACCATCCAGTCCTCATCTGGATCCTGTTCCGGTTCTAGTTTGATGTCCTCGGATACTGCCAGGTCATCTATTGGCGTCTCTGTGCTCAATCGGATTGGATGGTCTTGGCTCGAGCCTGCAGATCCACTGGTGGCAGATCCTGTCCATCTTGTGTCGGTGGTAGGACTGCCTGCAATTATACCAAATATATTTTCAACATTTCGTAAAAATAAACAGCATTTCCAATATTGGAATTCTAATTTATATCATATATTTATTTATATTTATATTCCAATTTATTTGTGAATTAGTGAGTGAGTGAGTGAGTTGGGTTTAACGCCGCTTTTAACAGTATTCCAGTTATATCGCGGCGTGTCAGCTTAATGTGGGAGGAAAGTGGGAGGAGGTGCTGACAAACCTAGAAACATAATCCGGGCGAACCGGGATTCGAACCCACAATCATAGGTTTCTGGCGTGCCCAAGGGACGCAACTCTGCACAGCGAATCGCGGCGCCTTAGACGACTGGGCCACCCGTGCCCCTATTTGTGAATTAAGGTATCAGTCCATGGCCCACTTGCACAAAGTAGCACTTAGCACTATGACTATCCAAATCATGACCATTACAATAGTCTCAATACTAAGAATGTTTTGAGCAAGTGGAACCAGATCCCCAAAGACTGCTAGAGATTTTGTACATTTGGCCATTTGTAAATTTGGAATACTATCACAAGGTCATTAATATTGGTCCTGGTACATGTGGAGTACTCAATTTTCAAATATTTGCCTAAATTGTGAATCAGGTAGAATTCATGGCTGAATGTAGGTTCTAACCCCATTCACACAGAAAACGAACTTAAAACAAAATTTGTCGTTAAGGGAACACATGACAGAAATATGTGGGTATATTATATTTGATAAACATACTCATTTAAAATATATGTAACTTGTTTTGTATTTACAATAGATTTATTTGTTCATTATTTTTATTGAAATAGTGTGCTGATTCAATTTAGAAACACGATATTAACTATTAAAATTGTCAATTAATAGCACCAAAATTGAGGTTGCTCCTTTTGAAAACAAAATAAATTGTATCATTAATTAAATTCTAAAACTACAATATGTTATTATAGTCTCCTTTGATAAGTGACAAAAAAAATTAGAAGGAAGAATTAGAACAAATTATACGAACACCAACTCATTCATCATGTTCATGATGCAATATGAATAGTGAAAACTCCAAATTGTCTCCCTTGATGTGTAAGGGGAGAGAACTCTAGTAAAAGCAACATGGCTGACATTCTACTGAAGTCTGTTCCATTCGTCCTCGACTTTCTTGATATAGACAATACAGACATCCTACAATCAGGTATTTTGAGTGACAGTTCCTATGATGATGACATAATTGCTGTAATTATCCATGCAATGAATCGGAGAGCGTCTGAGAATGGAACAGAGCACTATCCCAAGACAAACAGACACGCGAGGGTCGTGCCTATTTACAGATTCTGCAGCGAAGAGGACTACAGAAGGCACTTTAGAATGAGCAAGGCGATGTTTGAAGAGTTACTGAAAACACTTGAAAATCAGACAGATTTGCAGCAGTCTACAAGTGTGGGCGGGCGACCAGAATTATCGACAGAAATGAGACTCTACATCACCTTGAATTACTTAGGTAGTCGCAAAAGTATGAGGCAACTGGCTAAGATTTATCAGGTTAGTGAAAGTTCAGTTTTGACATCTGTGAGGAAAGTCGTTTCTGCAATCTATCAGGTCATGCAAACGTTCATAAAATGGCCTGAATCTTCAAGACTGTCAAACATAGCTGAAAACTTTAGCCAACAAACTGGAATGCCGCGAGTGGTTGGTGTGATAGATGTCTCACATATTCACGTGAGGGCACCTGTGGCCCAAAAAGACTACTACACAAATCTAAGAGGGAAGCTTTCAATCATACTTCAGGCAGTCTGTGATCATAAAATGAAGTTTCTACACTGCTGCACAGGCTGGCCTGGGTCAGTGGACGATGCAAGTGTTTTTCATGATTCCGATTTATATATGGATGTAATGACCAACCAATCAAAATTCTTTCCTCCTGGGCACTACCTGGTTGCAGATTCAGCTTACCCCCTTCAAGACTGGCTACTGACTCCCTTTGATGAAAGTGAAAATTTGAATGAGTCTCAAGTGAAATTCAATCAAACCCACAAAGACACTGGAGAAGTGATACAGAGAGCATTTGCACATTTGAAGGCAAGGTTTCCCAGACTCTATTACATTGATATGGTGGACATGGAAGACATTGTAAAAGTGATATTAGTTTGCTGTGCCCTTCACAATTACTGTCATGAGAAAGGTGATGTTGAGTTGTTCAAAGATACTGAAACAAACGAAGAGGAGACTGCTGTTCACGATGCAGACTTCAACACTCACAGGGAGGAGGGGATTGTCAGGAGAATTGAGATCACTCAGATTATTGCTTCTCCACAGAAATAATTCAAGTCATGTGTGAACATTCAGAAAATGGGTTGGTCAAGTTATCACTAATATCAGACATAAGACACAAATTACCAGTGCAATCCTTAGTGCAAATGCAGATGTGCATATTATAACATATTGGGAAGAATCCATGTCTGAAAAACAAAATAGTGTGTTGTGTCAGACTTTGATAAATGCATCAAGTGTTATTGCTGTTAATGGTACAAGGAAATATCAAATAAATACAAGTATACATTTTGCTTTGTTATTATTTATTGATTTATGTGATGACAGCATGACCTCTCCCCTAATCATACTAATTGTTTTAACAGCTTGCAAGTACATGTACGTGATAGTGAAGGGTTGCTTCTGTTTACAAACACCACTAGAACCCTGTCAGTACAACTGAATTCTAGAGGATAATACTTCTGAGGATGAAATGTTTGTCTATTATCATGAAGTAACAAATGTTATATTTGGGATAACACTTTCTGCGTAAAGAACAAATTCTAGTACTTTTGGGGGTTGAGTCCCATCCAAGATTTGAAGCCACATTCTCAGAGTGAGGCACCTAATCGCAAGTACACAAAGTCCGAGATCTAACCCACTCAGCCACCGAGGCTTCCACAACAATGAAAGTCTGACAACTGGTAGTCTAGATCACTTACTTTGTGTCCCCCTCTCACAGGTGTAAATTGGCACTGCTCCCAAAGTTATCAGTACACAATGCCATTTAGAAAGTGGTCAAATGTGACACTTTCTTAGTAAAGCACAATTTCTTGTACATTTTGGGGTTGAGTCCCATCTGGGATTCAGCAAACTGGTGTGGTATTCTGTTTCTTATAAGTTTTTGAATTAAGATTCCAAATCTTGATCCTATGTTGAACATGTTAAGGAACTTAAGCACTAACACAGAACATCTTCATTGAACCTGCTTCAGTCAAAAGTAACACTGGGGCTCAGATGACCATGCTTACACTTGTTTGAAAAAGGCCTACCGTATTTGACGTAATAAGCGCCCACAGCGATATTTGCTAATATATTGGCTAGTGAACAATCCCAATTAGCACTCCTTCCGATTGATCAATGTACACAACACTTATTTATTCGCGTATAATACGCACTCGTGTGTTATATGCATTCTTAATTATGGGCAATTAAATTCTGGAAAAATGTATCTGTCGCATATAAACATTTCAGTGTGTCAGCATAAACCACGAAATTTATCTTTCAACTCTCTTTTCCCCCCAAAATAATATCTAATAAGAGCCCCCTATTTCTAATTTTGAGAGCGCCCTGGGCGCTTATTACGTCGAATACAGTATTTAAGTATAATAGTCCTACTTTATGAAGCTGGTAATGTATTGTTAATACAGTCTGGGGAAATTAGTTTAAGATGCATACATTAAAGGGGCAAAATAACTTTTTAATTCTATTTTCATAAGAAATCTGTAAAAAATATAATTTTGCATTGCAACCAACTCTGCACTCTTCATTGAAATGTCTGAGGGAGCATATGATATGTTTGTGATTCAACAGAAACAAATTTAGGTTGACACTTTGGTATATCCACCAGAAAGTAACAGTTTTATGCTTTTCCTGAGGTTCACAGTTTAAATTAGTTTCATTTTTACATGGGTAGACCCCATTGATCATATCCAACTAGTCTGCAGCTCATTTTGGACTAGGGGCGGTGGGGTTTGAGTATAGAGTCTTTTGAATATAGTGTTTTTCAGTATGTCTGATACACCTATATACACTATGCCATCTCACTCTCACTAAAGACGGGGGCGGTGGGGTAGCCTAGTGGTTAAAGCTTTTGCTCGTCACGCCGAAGACCCGGGTTCAATTCCCGACATGGGTACAATGTGTGAAGCCGATTTCTGGTGTCCCCCGCCGTGATATTGTTGGAATATTGCTAAAAGCGGCATAAAACCTCACTCAATCACTCATTTTGGACAAGTGATAAAATAACTTGATCTTGGGATAAAACAACTAGTCCGTCTTGATTGTTACTAGTCTTGGGCTGACAGACTAGTGGCTGTGTCTATCCCTGGTTTAAGATACATAACTGGGACAGGAAAAACAACAACCTTTATTCCATTTCCATTAAAAATCTGCAGCTTTATTCTAAAAAATTAAAACTAAAAATATACCAATGTGTTGTGGCTGAGCATAAACATTCCCAGGTTGACAGTTGACGGCCATCTGCAGCCTAAACTATTCCAGGTACAGACAGTGATTTTCAGCCGTCTATGCACATGATGCAAGCATGGTTGAAGATAATTTAAAAGGGAGGGCTCCAGTGGGCATTTCGGGTTAGAACTGGTCCTCACCAACCTATGCTGGTCATAAGAGGTGACTAAATGGCTTCTGTGGTCAGACTTGCTGACTTGGTTGATGGCATGTCATTGTACCCTGAGCGGATATATCATTGCTCATAATATCAATCACTTTATTGTCTGGTCCAGATTTGGTAATATATGGATCCCTCATAGCTCGAATATTGCAGTGTGTGGTGTTAACAACAAATAAACACACAACGACAAAGGGGAAGGTTGCATTTTGTGATTTGATAATTCGTGTTTAGTAACCAGGAAGTTTTGTTCAAAATACATCCCTAATGAAGCTGGCATAGTGTTGTTACACATTTACATTTAGTATACCTATAAACATTGAGGGTGTGAATGATGAGTATGCTTTGCAAAGGGGTTGTGCACACCCTTACACCCATCTAGATTTGCATATTCTTTGTACCCCTTTTACCTACCAACTGTCAGATTCTTTGGTTGAGGCTGCTGGTCATTATCTACACTGTCATACTTCCTCATCAGCTCCAGCCTTCCAAGGGAGGTAACTTTGTCAAACCAGTTCTTATCGAAGACCTTCGGCTTTGGAGGCAGCGTTGGGAAGGGTTTGGCCATCTTTGATATGCCACTGACCTGACTGCCCTCTTTCTGTGAGGGTGCACCAGGACTAGAATACGAGGCGGCAGTGCTGCCTCCATATTGTTGATTAGGGAACACATCTCCAAAAGAATTTCTTTCCGTGGTTTCAGAGACTTCGATTATGCCTATTTCTTCATTTCCGTTGATACTGATGGACAGGGTGCCATTGAGGGACACAGAGTTGACGGTGAGAAATGTTTGGTAAAGGTACTGTGCCTCCTCCAAGAATATCAGTTTGATCTTTTCCTTCAAGCTGTAAGTACTGGCTGGTACGGGGGAATATGTGGAGACATCTGGAGGAGGCCTGAAGTAATGAGGAAGGATATATAGTTTTGGTTTTGTTTGTTTGTTGTTTAGCACCGCACTCAGCAATATTCCAGCTATATGATGGCAGTCTGTGAATAATTGTGAGCAGACAATACTGAGATCGAGATCACTGTTGCTTGCATCAACCAAATCAGCAAGCCTGACCACCCGATCCCGCTAGTCGCCTCTTACGACAAGCAGGGGTTGCTGAAGACCAATTCAGACCCGCATCTTCACGGGGATAACGATATGTAGAGATGCACCGGTTAACTGCAGTATAGTTTATCATGTTTATTACACACAGATACAATTTTAAAACCATAAATTTATAATCATCATAACACATCTTGATTATCCAGTGCATACCTCCATTCTATTAGGCCTTATATATTTTTAGTTTTTTTACGAAACTGACCAACAAAAGTATTTTTAAAAATTAAAGGCCTTTTGACACTTATTTTTTCGGCTGACTGTTTTACAATTAGCTGAACTGAAAAAAGCAACAAGATTTTATCCTTGATGATCATAATAAATGGTGAATAACATATAATATTATTTATTCTAACTGAAACACAATCAGTTATCTCTCAGTATTGTTTTGCTAGCGTTCCTCCATGACGGTGTGGGCTACAAGTGTGTTTTTCATTCATTAGTAGGAGAACTAATCTTGAAGTTGAAAATTATTTTACTTTTATCAGTGCACCTACATTGAATATTAGGCCAAACAGTTTGTACCCTGGACCTTTTTGCAATAACAGCATTTTGTTGCAAGTGATATCACCATCTCAAAGTCTCATATTTTGCACAGAATTTTGCTTACGTGTGATTTCATTAGATGGCTATTTGTAAGGCTGTGTCCGTCCAGTCGAGCTCTCACCATAGTTTGGAAGTAAACAGGTCCAGGGTATTTATAATGATAATATTTGTTTGTTTGTTGTTTAATGCCGTACTCAGCAATATTCCAACTATATGACGGTGGTCTGTGAATAATCAAGTCTGAACCAGACAATCTAGTGATTGACATCATGAGCATCGTTCCATGCAATACGATGACATGTATCAACCAAATCAGCAAACCTGATCCCCCAATCCCGTTAGTCGCCTCTTACGACAAGTATAGTCGCCTTTTACTGCAAGCATGGGTTGCTGAAGACCTATTCTATCCTAGATCTTCACGGGTCTATCATGATAATAGAATGGAGATATAATTGCCCGGAAAGTCTTCATGGTTTGAGGTGATATAGAACACAACAAGACACAGAAGAGATTCATCAAACGGAAACAGCAGCCAGTCTTGAAGCTGGATAGCTGAATCTGCAACCATAGTGCCCAGATGAAAAGAATTTTGATTGGTTGTTCATGACATATATAAATTGGAATTATTTAAAATTGGTTTAATAGACAGTCCTAAATGTCTGTGTGAAAATGTTTATCATTACTTAATAGAGTGTCAAGTTTATCAAACTGCAAGAAAAATAATGTTTCATAGTATAACTAAAGTTGTAAAAGCAAGCTCGTCCGCGATATGTCAATATTGGTAAATGGGATCTCCCATTTCAGCAGATCTGTGAAGATCCGTGATAAAATTGGTCTTTAGCAACCCATGCTTGCCATAAAAGGCGACTATGCTTGTCGTAAGAGGCGACTAAAGGGATCGGTTGGTCAGGCTCACTGGATTGTCTGGTCCAGACTCAATTATTAACAGATCTCCGTCCTATAGCTTGAATATTGCTAATTGTGGTGTTAAACAACAAACAAATCTCTCATCTCCAAAAACAATGTTATTTCACTTTTTCCATTAGTATATAAACCACAGAAATAGATTTAAGTAAACATGTCAATGTAAAAACATGTTTCCTGCTGCAACTCCACAAACCAAATATTTGTTTACATGAATTTGGATTTATTTAAATTCTGTGTTGGGAATTTTACAGACATTTGCTGCAGATTCAAGGCAGCATTAAACACAACTCTCACTCACATCAACCAGATTCCTCAAATATATTTATGTAAACAATATTCTATTTTCAAATTATTTCATTTAAAAAATAAATTGTTCAACCAACTGCCATCAAAACATTTTCATAAGTTTCTATTTATGTGGATAGCATCTTTAGAATCTGCTGAGAGTTTTGGTATTTGGTTTATTTGGGATAAATATATATGGGGGCAGAATGGAGAATTCAATACACACTATTCAACAAGGAATACTGTTATTACTTTTACATAAATATACAGTCAATATTTGTAATTTTTATTTTGAGTTGATAACTGAACAGTGGAATCCTTGAACATTCATGTATGTTTACATCTCAATAATTAGTATATCAGGATATGATTATATATTGATAACCATGTTTAACAATTATTAATTATTCTTATTAGTCAGCTTGTTTTTAGGGGCCGGTTATAAATTATCATCTTGAATATACACTTCCAACAAATATTCATACACCAATACCCTATATTATTGATCTTTATTGATATATATGTCAGAGGAAATGCAATCGTAGTACATATTCAATTTATTTCAATTGATCCAAATTCGTTGGAAATGTATTTCCGCATCACTGAGAAAGGTTGTCAAAAGTTACCTCCCCTTAACTAACAAAGGTGATTTTTAGTCCGGGATCGACTGACTGTTCACGACCTTAATTGGAGCGAGAGTATATATCAGGGAAGCTGACATGCATCACCACATCTGTTTTGAAGACATGTACGTCACATGGATGTGTTATGTGGACAAAACAATGTATAATTATCCCAAGAAAATTTGGGGAGAATTCGCTAGGCCACGCAAATAGACATAGTCGCTTTTCATAATAATCTACCAAACACACCTTCCATATGCGTCAGAAGTCGGACAGGACTGAATTAACACATTTCAGATATACAAACTACAAAGCACGAAGAAGGAAATATAAACAGTTAACAGCATTTCTTGGAGTTTAGCGGTTCCAACTTACCGATCCGAAGCCATTGTGAGAGGGCGCTACGAGCGGGCACTTTGGTGTGGCCTAGTTTCAATGCAGACTCATAAAAACGCTTCTTGGTTTTTAGCTATTTTACTAAGACATGTTTAAATTCTTCCAATATATGGTTCGAATCCACCTTCTCTACACGATGGCCCATCTTGGACCATGTTTGTTTTGCACGATCGAGGACCTGAATTTTGACTTTAAGTATTATTTTGGAATTATTTTATTGACCGAGTTATTATTTTTTTTTACATCGACTGGGGAGTTTAAGGTAAATGAAACATAGGAAGTGTTTTCACGAAACATATTAGGTTGTTGATGTCTTTTATCGGAAATGATAACAGAATATGCAAAAGTTCTGAAGATATATTTTCATGCAGTTACCTTTTTTATAGGTATGGTAACAAGTAAGGTGTTATCATTTCAATAATGATAATTATATACTGCTGTTTTGCCTTTAACGCCCAGTGAAATACGTATCGTGGGATAATCACTGGAATTGAAGCTTTATATCATGTATATTAACTTGGATAAATTTGGCATATATGGTGTATAACTGCTGATATCATCCGTTTTACGTCATCAAAAAATAGCATGACGTTATTGTGACGTCACAACAACGTTTTCTTGTCTGTTCACGACAAAGGACCGGCATTCCAGTTATCAAACAAGACAAGATCAGGGACCTGATTCATAAAACAACATTGCAATTTGCGAAATGCCGCACCCAGGATCATATTCAGGATAAGGTCCTTGCATGAAGTATAGGGCAAATAGAAAGCTACGTTGCAAGGTTTGCAATGCATCGTGCGCAGTTTTAAAAATATGCACTGCATATATAGTGCCAGTCTGTGTTAACGTTGCGGATCGAAACTTGCATTCATGCGTGTCACACAATATCATTTATGCATACGACCGCCTCCGTGGTCTAATGGTAGAGCGTCCGCCCGGAGAGCGGAAGGTCCGGGGTTCGACCCCCAGCCGCGTCATATCAAATGACGTTAAAAGATGGTACTTGTTGTTACCCTGTCTGGCGCTCGGCATTGAGGGGCTAAAACAAGGACTGGTCGGCTCGGAGTCCGTATACTGTGTCTGAGTGGGGTATTCATGTTAAACTGCGGCATGGTATCTCAGTGTGCTAGCACTATAAATCGGCATCAGTCCGGACTAGAACAAGCATCCACACACGTGCATGCACGCCGCTATATACGTTAAGCGGCGTTAAACCCCATTTCACACACCTCATGTATGCATACAATTATCCACATATTACAGTTTGTAATATTCTGAATGGTCTCTCCATCATTTCAAAATTGATCAGATTATGTAAGATTTACACAATGTTATTTTTTTTATTTAGCCACCCGGTAGCCCAAACACTATTTCACCAACCCTTATATTCCTTGGTGCCGTTGTACAAAACAACCTTAGACCAACGACTTTCATAAGTCTATGTTAGGTATGGAGTTACGATCACCTCAGCGCTAAGATCGCTCTGTACAAGGGCACCCAGGCATACAGAGAACGGTCCGACGTCAGGCAATATTTCTTGATTTTCTGATATTCTTGCACATGGAATCTTTTGCCTCATGAATATATAAGGGCCATTTTGTACGTTTATTTTTAAATATTTTGTTACATAACTAATGATGTGTGCAGCCATGTCAATAATGAATTATTATGGATATATAGATGCAATACTAGAAATGTGTGATACGTTTGTGTCTAAAATCGACTTTGGGAAATCTAAAATATCTTCTCAATAAAACGAAGGGTTTATTTTTTTAAACCAACACAAAATGCACATAAAAGCATCAACAAAATTTATTTAATAAAAATATACAAAACCAAAACTATATACAACGATCAAAATCGCAGGCAAAAAAACCCTAAATTACAATCAATCAATCAATCAATCAATCAATCAATCAATCAATCAATCAATCAATCAATCAAAAGAAAGAAAGAAAGAAAGAAAGAAAGAAAGAAAACAAACATTAAATCTTCAACAAAATTAATTAACAAAAATATACCTTATATACAAATGACTAAATACAACGACTAAAACTACAAACAAACAACGACAAAAGACTTTGAGGCTCGACCGGAGAGTACAAATTGGCCTCCATCTCATTTTGTTATCAGGTGGATGAGACAATCTACAAAAGGTATCCCATGCTCACGTGACATGTTATATTTACAAAACGAAAGTAGCTGACGGGGAAAGATTTTGACAACTCGTCTACTGCGCTGTGACGAGCTGGCGAGGCGACCACACGTACGTATCTATTTCCTCTTGTGTAATGGGTGACTGAAAACTGCCTCTTAAACTTTTTTTGATGGACTATGCGCCCTGTCAAAATAACTAACACCTATGTGTCTATTTACTACATAGGTAATGTCAATAGATAAGACGCTTCCCCGTAATGGCAGCAACAGCGCCTTCCCGGAAGTGTCTAATTGTCGCATTTCGTGGAATTATTTGTTAGATAGATAAACATTCATTTCAGGGACGTTATATGAAAGACACCTCCCATTTCACGTATACAATGTATCTTGCTCCTTGTCTAGGGGTGTCGTCACATACTGTTTCTCTACTCCTTCAGTGGTACGCTTAGGCGAAGTCAATAATATTTTGTTGTTGCAGAACGTTTTATACAAGGCCGTGGTTAACCTTTTTGACAGGGGGGAGCAAATAAGATTATTCTTTTTTTATTCAAGTTAACTTTCACAGGGAAAAATGTTTTCTGTAAAAAATCCACGGGGGATAAAATATTAAAATTGATCCCACAGTCCAACAGCCTTACAGGCATTGTAGGATGTGTGTATTCAGTTCTTTACTTTAACCCACAGATACATTTTAGTTCAGTTATACCATCCTCTATAACAATGAAATGAAAGCTGGTGTGAATATCAATATACAGACATTAATGAGTCCCCCCCCCCCCCCCCCCCCCCCCCCCCCTGCCCCCAACCCCTCCAATCCTGCTTTGCCCCATTCCTCCTCCTAAATTCCCCAACCACCAACAGCAATCCAGCCACACCACAAGAACAGATGCCATACTTCCCCCATAATTGTCCCCACCACAAGAAAAGATGTCACCCTTCCCCCTCCCGCCAGCTATCTAGCCCCACCCCAGCCAAATCCAACAAAAGTGGTCCCCCTTCCTCCCCATAATCCCTCCCCCCTCAGCCATCCAGCCCTACCCCCACCCCAATAATAGATGTCCCCTTCCTCCCCATAATCTTCCCAGCTATCTAGCCCCCCAGCCCATCCTATCACCCCCCTTTCCTCCCCTTACCCCCCCCCCCCCCCAATCCAGCCCTACCCCAACCCCAAGAAATGATGTCCCCTTCCTCCCCAATATGCTCCCCCCACCCCAAGACCAACCCTAAGAAAAAATGTTCCCCTTCCTCCCCAACCCCAGCCCCACCCCAAGAAAAGATATCCCCCTTCCTTTCCCATAATTCTCCCCCACCAACAGTCATACCCACTACCCCCAAAATATTTGTCAGTTCTTGACAGTTCTTCACTGCACTATCAATACACAATGTTATTGTTCAGTGTGATGCATCTGGTATTATGAAAAGCTGAAACACCTGTAAAATCATTGAGGTGACTGTCCTATGTATTTCATTTCCAGTGACCAGGTGAGAGGTCAGCCATGAAGGTCGAACTGGTGACGGGCAGCATCGCTGACCAGCAGGTGAGTGTCTACTGCTTCATGCCTACATGTGCAGGAATACACCACAGTTCAACATGACCATAGTGCTGGGATGGCCTCATGGTTCAATAGCCACATGCTTAAAATGTGTGAAGCTCATTTCTGGTGTCCCATGCCATGACACTAACTCACTGACACAATAACTCACTGACACAATATCTCACTGACACAATAACTCACTGACACAATAACTCACTGATTCACTAACTCACTAACTCATGGACTCACTAACTCACTGACTCACTAACGCATGGACTCACTAACTCACTGACTCACAAACTCACTAACTCACTGATTCACGAACTCATGGACTCACTAACTCACTGACTCACAAACTCACTGATTCACTAACTCATGGACTCACTAACTCACTAACTCATGGACTCACTAACTCACTGACTCAAACTCACTGACTCACTAACTCACTGATTCACTAACTCACTGACTCACTTACTCATGAACTCACTAACTCACTGACTCACTTACGCATGGACTCACCAACTCACTGACTCACAAACTCACTGACTCACTAACTTACTGATTCACGAACTCATGGACTCACTGACTCACAAACTCACTGATTCACTAACTCATGGACTCACTAACTCACTAACTCATGGTAAATTTTGAAATGTTGGAAAGACTGTTCATTTTAAAAGCTGTAAAATGGGGATAAATTGTCTACATCATTGTAACATGCATGTTAATACACTGTCTGCACAGAGCAGCCATATGCAGGGCATATTTATTTAACTGGATGATCGCAAACCTTGCGACCTGGATTTCTATTTACAATATGGTTTAAGCAACGGTCACATCCTACACAGGACTGTGACATATCGCAGAACACCAATGCTGTTGCGAATTGTGATTGCTCTTAGTTCTCTAATGTACACATAATGGACCCTGGCTCTGACTTGAATTAAACTTGCTAGACCTGCCACTTGAGTCTAGTTCATTCCTCTTTAAGACACAGTTGCTTCTGTCTTGAGAATACCTGTGAAGATCCAGGTTAGAATTGGTCTTCAGCAACCCATGCTTGTCGTAAAAGTGACTATGCTTGTCGTAAGAGGCGCTTAACAGGATCGGGTGGTCAGGTTCACTGAATTGGTTGATGCATGTTATTGTATCCCAATTTCGTAGAATGATGCTGATGATGTCAATCACTGGCATGTCTGGTCCAGACTTCATTATTTACAGTCACTGTCATATATATCATGGTATAACATTTATACTAAGTTATCCTATAATAATTAGATCTACATCAAGTGCTTTTATGAGTTATAATGGTGTAATATTTATACATCATTTCATATAATTATAGTTTAGCAAGTAATACTTATCATCAGGTAAAATGCATATATAAAATATCAGTAGTTTCAGTTATAGCTTTTTAGATAGATGCTAGCCTAAGGTATTGGGAGCGCATCTTCTAGACATACTATTCAATAAGACAAGAGTTACGTCTACATAGTTTAATAGATTTGAAGCTTTTAGATAAATGCTAGCCTAAGGTGTCAAGATCCCATCTCCCAGATAAAAGATATGTCTACATAGTCTTATAGATTACCTTAAACTATTTTAAAGTAAATCTGTCATCACCTATATTAGAATAACATTCAGCAATAACTTAAATTTAGACTCATTAAGGATTAGCCCCCATACAAGCTCGTCTATAGGGCATTAAGGATTAGCCCCAACACAAGCTCATCTGTAGTGTCACCATAATCTCTTTCAAAGCATCCAGTAAATATGTCAACAAGATTAGTGCCAGTCCAACAGGATTAACAGGATTAAGTATTCCCCTCTGTCTAGCCATTCATTTAGCATAGGTCACAACCCATCGTGTATCAACCAATCATATTCCATTTTATTGTTCTAATTTTTGTTAAATACATACAGTAACCTCTTGTTAGGACCGTGTGCGAAATACGCTCCAGTCGGAAAGCGCACGTAAAATCTCCTAATATAAGTAAGTAAGTAACTTGTTAGGACAGAGAAGGGGTTTGACTCTCTTACCAAGCAGACCTCTCTCCCACAGCCCAGAGGGTTGTACCGACTCTCTGTGGCACCCTCAGCTATTTTTCTAAGTATATTGTAATTTATTCTTGTAAATAAAATTGTGATTAGTCTCCTGTGACTCCGGCTCTTTGCTGACTAATTCCCAAAGAAAACCAGCACGCCATTTGGAAGGTATTGTTCACCCAGAACAGTTCCATGATATATAGCTGGAATACATCTTCCTGAGGCAAGGGAGTTAACTGATTATCTAAGTCCAGTTTCCACCCATGCCCAACTAGGTTTGAATTCCAGAATTACATTTAGGCTGGACTAAGGTATGGTTTTCAACCAATCTCATCAAAATCAGATCTTAGTTCTCGCTACCACTAAACAAAGATCTGAGGACATCCCATTACGGGTCACGTCAGACCGATCTTGCACAAACTTTGACCGACTAATGGAATGACCAATCAGAAGGCAGCTTTCTCATGCTTTACGGCACTAATTTCAAATTGGTGACTACGCTTCGAAACATATTTTGACAAATTCTCCATTACATATTCGAAACCTGAAAAAAAGAACATTCTGGAATGGCTAATAGATAGCATAGATTGTATGGTTCGGTCGTTAAACCCGTAACTATCGTTCGGAATACCCTGTGTTAAAGTTTTCGTGGTTGCATGATTAGAAATCACATTCCGACTGTCACTTTCATAATCTGGTAAGTGACGCTCTGGCTGGTCGGAAGAAAGGTCGTTCTGACGTGACCCCAATTGGGATGTCTTCAGATCTTTGTTTAGCGGTAGCAAACTAAGGTCTGATTTTAATGAGATTGGGATTTCAACGTGCAGATTTCAGTTGATTGTAGGATTTGCAAAGCATGTGTACAGTCAACTGGGCACTGACAGATATTTTGCCAATCTTTTCATGTCTTGATCAAGGTGCTCAATTATATGATGCACTTCGCACGGGACCAGTAAGACCAGTTTTAGTACAAAATAGACTTAATTATCGACAAGATTGTCTTCACTGGGTGCCGCCATTTTGTTTGAAGCACATACAAGTTATATGAGAGATGGAATCTGATTGGTCAGTAGGAGGGACATAGAAGGGATTTAATTTGTAATAGCCACTGGTGGCGCTATGATCGAGCCTTGAAATTCAAGCCTAGTTCGTCAAGGGTGGAAACTGGACTTTCATAGTCAGTTAACGCCCTAGCCTCAAGAAGATGACTGGAGTATTGCTGAGAACGAACGAACGAACAAACAAACAAACAAACAAACAAACAAACAAACAAACAAACAAACCCTTAAGACACGCTTGCATCTACCCAAAGTTAATGAATTGCCCAATTTATGATGTCCGCAGGTTGATGTCCTGGTGAACACCACAACGAAGGACTTGGACCTGTCGTCGGGGCCGGTGACGAAGGCGATCCTGAGTGGGGCCGGGCAGGGCATCCAGCAGCAGTGTCGGGATAACTGCCCCGGTGGGATAGACTTTGGGGAGATATGTGAGACAGATGGCGGAAGTCTCACCTGCAAGCAGATCTACCACTCCTCTCTGCCTGTCTGGAGTGATGATGCTGAACAGGTAATGCTGGGGCGTGGGGCTATGGAATCAGGGGTGTATGTGTAATTATAAACCTACTGGCTGTTTGTGTAACTCGACATGTACTTTTTGAAATTGTGGTAACATCTTGAAGGAGGTATAACAACGATTGTAACACCTCACAGGAGGGCTTACAATCATTGTAAACCCTTGATAGAACAAAAACTATGAACACCCTACAAGACGCACATGCAGATTTCGTGCCATTGTGAGACACACGTGGAGGTTTGGCACTGTTGCGAAACCCATGTGCTGAGGTCACCAGTTTCAATGAACCAAGTTCACGACTGCAGGCGATATTTCATCTCTGATACAGGTTATACATTTGAGTGTTTTTATTACAGTTATTTAATTAAAAACGTTGTCTATGCGATGAGTCGGTTTATAAGTTGGACAAACCATGTCTCCTCGAGATTACTAGATATTGTAAACCCTCACATTCGGGAATGTCCCTCAGGTTAAGGTTTACAATCTCTAGTAATCCCTCGGAGACATGGTTTCTCCTACACGTAAATCACTCCATGTTGGGTTGGGAGTACTGTATGTGTAAGTGGATCACTCCATGTTGGGTTGGGAGTACTGTGTGTGTAAGTGGATCACTCCATGTTGGGTTGGGAGTACTGTATGTGTAAGTGGATCACTCCATGTTGGGTTGGGAGTACTGTATGTGTAACTGGATCACTCCATGTTGGGTTGGGAGTACTGTATGTGTAAGTGGATCACTCCATGTTGGGTTGGGAGTACTGTATGTGTAAGTGGATCACTCCATGTTGGGTTGGGAGTACTGTGTGTGTAAGTGGATCACTCCATGTTGGGTTGGGAGTACTGTGTGTGTAAGTGGATCACTCCATGTTGGGTTGGGAGTACTGTATGTGTAAGTGGATCACTCCATGTTGGGTTGGGAGTACTGTGTGTAAGTGGATCACTCCATGTTGGGTTGGGAGTACTGTATGTGTAAGTGGATCACTCCATGTTGGGTTGGGAGTACTGTATGTGTAAGTGGATCACTCCATGTTGGGTTGGGAGTACTGTATGTGTAAGTAGATCACTCCATGTTGGGTTGGGAGTACTGTATGTGTAAGTGGATCACTCCATGTTGGGTTGGGAGTACTGTATGTGTAAGTGGATCACTCCATGTTGGGTTGGGAGTACTGTATGCGTAAGTGGATCACTCCATGTTGGGTTGGGAGTACTGTATGTGTAAGTGGATCACTCCATGTTGGGTTGGGAGTACTGTGTGGGGCTATGGAATCAGGGGTGTATGTGTAAGTGGATCACTCCATGTTGGGTTGGGAGTACTGTATGTGTAACTGGATCACTCCATGTTTGGTTGGGAGTACTGTATGTGTATGTGGATCACTCCATGTTGGGTTGGGAGTACTGTATGCGTAAGTGGATCACTCCATGTTGGGTTGGGAGTACTGTATGTGTAAGTGGATCACTCCATGTTGGGTTTGGAGTACTGTATGTGTAAGTAGATCACTCCATGTTGGGTTGGGAGTACTGTATGTGTAAGTGGATCACTCCATGTTGGGTTGGGAGTACTGTATGTGTAAGTGGATCACTCCATGTTGGGTTGGGAGTACTGTATGCGTAAGTGGATCACTCCATGTTGGGTTGGGAGTACTGTATGTGTAAGTGGATCACTCCATGTTGGGTTGGGAGTACTGTGTGGGGCTATGGAATCAGGGGTGTATGTGTAAGTGGATCACTCCATGTTGGGTTGGGAGTACTGTATGTGTAACTGGATCACTCCATGTTTGGTTGGGAGTACTGTATGTGTATGTGGATCACTCCATGTTGGGTTGGGAGTACTGTATGCGTAAGTGGATCACTCCATGTTGGGTTGGGAGTACTGTATGTGTAAGTGGATCACTCCATGTTGGGTTGGGAGTACTGTATGTGTAAGTGGATCACTCCATGTTGGGTTGGGAGTACTGTGTGGGGCTATGGAATCAGGGGTGTATGTGTAAGTGGATCACTCCATGTTGTGTTGGGAGTACTGTATGTGTAACTGGATCACTCCATGTTGGGTTGGGAGTACTGTATGTGTAAGTGGATCACTCCATGTTGGGTTGGGAGTACTGTATGTGTAAGTGGATCACTCCATGTTGGGTTGGGAGTACTGTGTGGGGCTATGGAATCAGGGGTGTATGTGTAAGTGGATCACTCCATGTTGTGTTGGGAGTACTGTATGTGTAACTGGATCACTCCATGTTGGGTTGGGAGTACTGTATGTGTAACTGGATCACTCCATGTTGGGTTGGGAGTACTGTATGTGTAAGTAGATCACTCCATGTTGGGTTGGGAGTACTGTATGTGTAAGTAGATCACTCCATGTTGGGTTGGGAGTACTGTATGTGTAAGTAGATCACTCCATGTTGGGTTGGGAGTACTGTGTGTGTAAGTGGATCACTCCATGTTGGGTTGGGAGTACTGTATGTGTAAGTAGATCACTCCATGTTGGGTTGGGAGTACTGTGTGTGTAAGTGGATCACTCCATGTTGGGTTGGGAGTACTGTATGTGTAAGTAGATCACTCCATGTTGGGTTGGGAGTACTGTATGTGTAAGTAGATCACTCCATGTTGGGTTGGGAGTACTGTATGTGTAAGTGGATCACTCCATGTTGGGTTTGGAGTACTGTATGTGTAAGTAGATCACTCCATGTTGGGTTGGGAGTACTGTGTGTGTAAGTGGATCACTCCATGTTGGGTTGGGATTACTGTGTGGAGCTATTGAATCAGGGGTGTATGTGTAAGTTGATCACTCCATGTTGGGTTGGGATTACTGTGTGGGGCTATGGAATCAGGGGTGTATGTGTAAGTAGATCACTCCATGTTGGGTTGGGATTACTGTGTGGGGATATTGACCTTTTTTACACTTTCGCCATCTTGGATCGAAAACGAGGCTTGGAGAGCATAGCTCCATGCAGTGTGAGTCGCATCAGCTGATAGGGAACAGACAGTATTTCACTGATGGACATTTCAAACAAACAAAAAATGGTATCCTCTGTATCTAATACAGAAGATATTTCACATTTAATCCTGAGGTCCAACTAAAATATGCCTGTAACACACTCGAATTAGCATTTTGCTGTCAAGATCCCGGAAGTGAATCGAAAGGTGCATTTCGAGATATGTATTTCAGAAATAGATTGTTTTATCATAACCTTGTCGGCATATAGGTACAATGTGACAGTACATTCAATGACAGAATTTTGTATCGTAAATGAACCGCATAACATGAAACAGGTCAGTGTACTTTTGCAAACTTATTAGTCAATGCGTGGCTTGGCGAACTCGAGCTCGTCGATCATGTTTATTTCACGTTTCATAGTGGTGTTTGCTGCATAACGCACTATCGTTTTGCCATGAGTCCAGTTGACAAAAAAACACTTTTTCTGCTATGATTTTCATCTAAACATATTACGATGTAAATGAAATCAGCGATAACTCTATTCAGTGTGTACAATGACAGATGAAACTTTACTTGTTCTTCAAACATCACTTATTTAACCGATTATTAACGATTGAGATTGCACCGTGCATGACAAAAGCAATAATGTGTGAAATGTTTAAATAAGTTAAAAGGAAACTTAAAATTGATAAATATAAATAATGCATGAAATTGAAGAAATATAAGAATTGATACAAACACCAACTTCTTGAACACCCTCACCTAATCCTGTATGATGATAGGTAATTGTATATCAAAAGGAAGATACTAATACATTTATCCTGAATAGTTTGAAAATGTCTTGATCAGATATGAGTACAGATAAAATAACATAAGATGAAAAGGAGTGAAATGAGTTATGATTGCAATACGCATGGGAATTAAAAATAATTCTGTTTATACTTTAAGTTTATAGTAATGTCAATATCAATTTATGAAATTTGAAATACAGACTGTTAAAGAGTTATCTGTTTCTGTAAATTATATACAGATCACATGTAGATTGAACACTTACTGGCCATTAATTAGTAGTGTTTTTGTTCATTTCATGACATGATTAATTTGGTACAGTAAAGTAAATATCATTTTGGTAGAAATATTGTTTACAAAATTGCAGATCAAACTGTATTTAACTTCAAATATTTACACACCCTTTATGTAATAATTCAGTTGAAATATTACACCTCATGCTATCTAATCTGTCAACATTGACAATCAAAATAACAACTGTTCACAATCACAACAGCACAAGTAGATCTAGAGGTCTAATATTTTATTGGAATGCATTTGAGTCCATTACAATTTACATCAAATACGCAACTGATGCAAAATTCTGATTTGTTACGATTGTAAATTCTCAGTAGGTTACAATTTGATACATTATATCAACATATCAATTAAGTTAGTTTCTGACATATATCTAGATATGGTCAAAATGTCAATATTTCGACTTCAAATACAACCCGTAAAGTTATTTAAACTAACAATAAATTGTTTGGCTTAATGGTGTGTAAACAATCAATTATTCTTTACAAGATTTCAGTAGCATTTGTATTAAGCCTGTTCAGCTACCATAAACTGCACTGGGAGTTACCAGGTGGTCATGGATATTTTAAATTGAAATCACAACAGAACGGCCAGACTCAAATTTATATCGGTAAGGAGACCAGATAACAGTAGAATAGTTTGTCAATGATAAGAATAAGAATAATGTTCAATACTTACGATAAATGTACCTGGATTGTTAAATTGTCACAGTTTGTCCCGAGTGCGTGCCTTGTTGACATCTCCATGTGTTTCATGTGCTATCCAGCCTTCACCTTCTGCTCTCCAAGCCTCGATCGCTTTCAAACCGGAAGTAGCGAACTGTGAAAAAGGTCAATAGGCTGGTGTTAAGACATAGAGAGGGTTTAGTGCTGGGGAATATGGACAGATGTTGAAGCTGGTGTGGGATAAGGTCTGGGTAGTATTGTTGGTGTTAAAGCTGGTGTGAGATAAATCCTTGGTAATATGGTTGGTGTTAAAGCTGGTGTGAGATAAGTGCTGGGTAGTATTGTTGGTGTTAAAGCTGGTGTGAGATAAGTGCTGTGTAGTATTGTTGGTGTTAAAGCTGGTGTGAGAATCCTTGGTAATATGGTTGGTGTTAAAGCTGGTGTGAGATAAATGCTTGGTAGTATTGTTGGTGTTAAAACTGGTGTGAGATAAGTGCTGGGTGGTATTGTTGGTGTTAAAGCTGGTGTGAGATAAGTGCTGGGTAGTATTGTTGGTGTTAAAGCTGGTGTGAGATAAATCCTTGGTAATATGGTTGGTGTTAAAGCTGGTGTGAGATAAGTGCTGTAGGAGAAAGTAATTTGCTAAATACAAACACAATAGGTGTTTACCAATCACAGTTATAATCTTAATATATATTTTTCTCTGAAGGTGCTGCAGAGTTTCCTAGAGACGTGCCTCAAGGAAGCGGACGACTGTGAATATAACAGTATAGCTTTCCCTGCCGTCGGCACCGGGGTGTTAAAGTATCCTCCAGAGACTGTCGCCAGGGTATTCTTAAGGACAATTGTTGACTTTGTCAGTGACACAATCAATATTAGCCTGACTGTAGTCAGAATTGTCATTTACCCCTCAGACAGTGCAGTCATACAGGTGAGCTTCAGCCACAACTTATCATAAAAGCTGATATATACTCATCAACAAAAGAAACGTGAATACCATACATGTTGGTTAATATATGTAAACTTAGTCATGTTCAAGAGATATTTGATTATTTCGATGCACAAATGCACAATCTGATATGTTGTGTGAACCGACGCTCATGAACGAATCACATGTGACGTTATAGATCCATGACACGAGATGCACCATTTGTCAAGATTAGCTTGTAAAGTTTGCAAATCACGTGCAGCATATCGTGATAAGAATAAAGATTCCATGGTTACACTTGACTGATAGTTAGTTTCGTCTTAGTGGTACACATTGGAAACATTTCTTCTTAACGTACATACTTCTCTGTATGTTTCTTTGGTTTGTGGTTGGCCCAGTCGTCTAAGGCGCCGCGATTCGCTGTGCAGAGTTGCGTCCCTTGGGCATGCCAGAAACCTATGATTGTGGGTTCGAATCCCGGTTTTCCCCGATTATGTTTCTAGGTTTGTCAGCACCAAACCCATGCTCGTGGGTTTCACCAAAGTGGTAAACGTCTGAGACCTGCATCACTTCGGGCTTTCCTCCCACATTAAGCTGACACGCCGCGATATAACTGGAATACTGTTAAAAGCGGCGTTAAACCCAACTCACTCACTCACTCACTTTGGTTTGTGTTTCTTTTGGTGGTGAGTATATTTTTTTTCCATGTTATTTTTGAATGGTAATGAAGTGCCTGGTAACTTTGTCCTTGTTTGATGTGGTGTACATGCGCCAGATACATAAGGAAGTGGTGTTGGAAACGCCAGACTCTTTCTGTCATGTTTCTTGTTCCTGTCTGTGTCACATCACATCAAGTTTCAGATCCATAAATAGATAAATAAGACAACAGGCAGTAGTCCAAACATTATAGTTGGTTCTTTCACCTCTGTTGGTCTTACGGAAGCTTGACATTTTCATTCTTTGTTAACAATGAAGGCATTCAAAGCTGTGAAGACAGACTTCGCTCAGGAACTTGACATCTCAAGTTCTCTAGACAAAGTACAATGTGTGCCTCGACTTAAACCTCAACCTCAAGGTCAACCTCAGGCATCTAATGTTGGTGAGTTTCTAGTCACATCTAAACCATCCTCTTCTGTTACATAAACTTATTTGTTAAGCACAGCATAGTCTGATTTAGGGGCATGGGTTGCCTATGATCGCTACCTTATCTTGTTAAACTGTTCTTTTATAACTGAATTAAATGGCGTTATGCCCAGTACTCGATTTGACTTTTGTGTGCCGTTTAAAATAACATTTTAACTGAAAGATCCTATAGCAAAAGGACTTCCCTCACACAGTCAGAAAAACATGTTTTCAAACTAAAAATTAATTTACAACAGTCATCTGATTCTATTGATATTATAAGTGAAACGATACATCAGTGCACCGCTGCATTGTGAGTTTTCATGTGACGATATGATTAGCGATATGTTTTTTTACTGTATTGATGCACTTGTTGAAATAAATTACTTACTATTCATTTAATGACCCCTTGCATTTTTGTCAGTCAGATACAGCAAAATTTGTTTTAATTAGCGTTTCAAGTTCACTACTCAAAAAATAGCCGCTACAAACATGTGTCTACAGCTGGCTTTTCCTTTTGAACATGCTCTGAAATATTCATTGTCAAGAAGCTTTCATGCGATTTGACGAAAAAAAGGGTATCAAGATATGTATGGTATCGGGACCTATGTATCATGATACGTATCATACCGTGACCTTGCTGTATCGTTTCACCCGTAATAAATATATTGAGGGCTTGGATGAGACCGTGATCTGTGCCAAACTCGTATTCAAAAATTAATGAGTGAGAGAAATTCTGTGAAATGGAGAGATGGAGAAAGTGAAATTAGGAGATGGAGAAATGGAGAGAGTGACATTTCGGAAATTAAGCTGTGTTGGTGAATGGGTACAGGGTATATACCATAATAGAATGAAGATGTGACAGATGGTGCCAACCCTTCTTGGTATACCGGATGCCGACCCCGGGCAGGGTGGGGAGGGTGTATTTTATGCAAATACGCAGTTTATCTGAAACTCTGAGAAGAGATTAACACCCTCATAATTCCATGGATAATCCAGGATGATCTTCCCAGGAAAATGTTCACTTGTTACTGGTGCTTTGTTACAGTGGTTGTCGCCTCTCTACTGACTGGAGACATAACAAAACAAACGGTAAGATAATCTTTTTCTCATATTATGAGATTGAAGTGTTTTTGTGACTCTAGCTCAACATCTTCCCGAGGCAAGAGACTTTAAAAGTCCAGTTTCCACCCTCGCCGAACTAGGATGGAATTCCTTGGCTCGATTGTAGCGCCACCAGTGGCTATTACCAGTTATGTCCCTTCTATGCCTCTCCTATGGACCAATCAGATTCCACCTCTCGTATCATTTGCATGGTCTTACATTACGAAATGCATCAAATCACGTGAGCACCTTGATTAAAAACATGAAAAGATTTGGAAAATATCTGTTGACAACGAGTTGGCGGTGCACTTGCTTTGCAAATCCTGCAAATGACCGAAATCTGCACGACAGTTTACGAACCAGATTTCAATTTCGTTGCACGATTTTGATTGGACTATGCATAGACTCATTAGTCCAGCCAAAATGTAACTCCATAATACCAGTCCAATCAAAATCGTGCAACGAAATCAAAATCCAGTTCGTAAACTGCCGTGCAGATTTCGGTTGACTTTTAAAGTCAGTTAACTCTCTTGCCTCGGGAAGATGGAGTGCTTATTACTTTGTTTTTATGTTAGCTACAGACAAAGGATTGTTTGTTTCAAAGTTGTACTGCATTGGACACATATTTTCCCAAATCGTAACAGATGTTATTTAACCGGAAGTGTTTATATTATTAATAAGCTATATTGTCTGGACAATCCTAGTAATTTTCATCCAACAGACATTTTTGGCTAATATATTCTTTAAATCTGGTATCTTTGTACAGGGAGAGGTAATATATTGAAATGAAATATATATGAATTATTAATTGTTAAAAACGGAAAAATGTTTATCATTTGATGAATGTTGGTGTTTAGACTGATGTGATCATTAACACAACCAACCCAGCTCTGAAACTGGCACATGGGGGGTTGTCGAAGATCCTGCTTGAGGCAGCTGGGGATGACCTTCAAGATGAATGTAACACAAAGTATCCCTCAGGGGTCAAGGTCGGTGAAGTGGCAGTGACAGGGGGAGGTAATTTGTCCTGCAAACAGGTGTACCATATCACCCTGACCGATTGCTGGCGCAGTGATCAGCCAGGTACTGAAAAGGTATGCTGTTGCTACAACTGTCTGAATGAATGGCGAATATAAATTTTGGAAGTCCTGTCAATAAAAATATATTTATTATCAGCTAACCATGCACTTTAATAATTTCGAGTAAGAGGTGACCAAATGGATCAGACGGTACCCCAGCAGCGTGAATCATTGCTCACCCCCCTGTGAAGATCCGGGATAGAATAGGTCTTCAGCAACCCATGCTTGCCGTAAAAGGCATTGTAAGAGGCGCCTAACGGGCCCGGATGGTCAGGCTTGCTGATTTGGTTGATGCATGTCATCCATCCCAATTGCGAGGATTGATGCTCATGATATCAATCACTGGAATGTCTGGTCCAGACTCAATTATTTACAGTTAGCTGGATAGATATCATATAGCTGGAATATTGCTGAGTGCGACGTTAAACAACAAACCAACCATCCAATCAATCATTGCTCACAATATCAATCACTGGATTGCCTGGTCTAGATTATTTGCAGTCATCTGTCATGTAGCTGGAACATTGATGCATGCCCCGTTAAGCAACAAACAAACAAAACAAATAGTGTAAAATGTTAATACATTTTCAAACTTTCAGAAATATTCTGCCATGTCATATTAAGTGCACACTACCTATGTCTATGTCCTTGTGATGTTGATGTTGCAGCTGCTGAAGGCCACGATGTTGAAGTGCCTGAAGACGGCAGACGATGCCGGATTGACCAGTCTCAGTTTCCCGGCCCTAGGCACTGGGAAGCTGAAGTACGACCCCTCGAGAGTGGCCCAGCTGATGTACGACGTCTGCCTCAGCTTCAGATCCAGGGGCCTCTCCAAGGTCATGTTGGTGGTGCATGCAGGCTCCCCTGACGTCAAGCAGGTAGCCACAGCAAGGTCATATGTGATGGACAAAGCAGTGTTAAACAATTCAGAATCAAGTATCATGTTCTTTGCATTTTAAGATGCGGCGATAATGGTGCATCCACACCAATTATCAATCAGAGAAATAGTTTCTTACAATGTATCTAGACCCGTGAAGATCTGGGGTAGAATAGGTCTTCAGCAACCCATGCTTGCCGTAAAAGGTGACTATGCTTGTTGTAAGAGGCGACTAACAGGATCGGGTGGTCAGGCTTGCTAACTTGGTTGATGCATGTCATCGTATCTCAATCGTGTAGATCGATGTAAATGATGTCAGTCACTGGATTGTCTGGTCAAGACATGATTATTTACAGAGCGCTGTCATACAGCTGGAATATTGCTGAGTGTGCCATGAAACAAATAAACAAACAAAAATCATATGGGCGCTTATATGCAGATTGGACTCGAAGTTGGCTAGGGTGCGATTATTGGAGCAGAGCAGAGCGGTTAATACGGCAAATATGGTAACTAAATTGTTGGGCAAAAGAAAGTACACACTTGAAAATTGGATTTGACCCAAAAATTACAAATGATATAAAATGTGACAAGCCTGAAAAGTGTTGCAAAAATACTGCATACTTAAGGTCCAAGACACGGCTGTGATGCCTATAACAAATACATCACCACCAAATAACCATTTTTTTGTTTGTTTTATTTTTAACCACCATGAAACATGGGTGTATATTGTCTTTTGCCCGCAGTTTATATTAGGTGAACTTCTAGAAAGTGTCAAATTTGCTCATTCAATTTTTCAATATGGCATCCATTGCGGCCATTTTGAAAATCCAAATTCAGGCATTCTGAACCTTCACTCAGCTGTATGTATTAATGTAAATACATGAATGTGAAATTCAGCCTGAAGGTTGGATGTAGTGTGAACTTATATCTGACATTATTATGCATGTTTGGACTTTGTAGCTTTCTTTGGAATTTGAACTTTGATAATTAACCCCTAAATTATAGTGGCACAAAAGGGATTTCTTTTGACCTGACATATTTCTATGAATGTCACACTTGTGGCTTGTCATGTAATAACAAGAAATATTTTCCAGGCATTTGATAATGAGTTGGCAAAAAGGAAGAAAGCCAAGTCAGCCGGATCCCCCAAATCGCACCCCTCGCTTGCCATGACAATAGGTAGGTGTGAGGGAAGTAGTATATATCTTGTTCTGTTGCCATGACAATAGGTAGGTGTGAGGGAAGTATTATATTTCTTGTTCTGTTGCTTTGACAATAGGTAGCTGCGAGGGAAGTAGTATATATCTGGCAGAGCTCCAGATAACTTTTTGAGCAATTGAGTTTTTTAATCTCGGGTTTCTATTTTAATTGGGTTATTACATTTATCATTGGGTAACCAATATTCTTTCACTCATCTATTCATCACTCTAATGGGGTTTTCCCAAAATTAGTGAACGTTTTAAGATTTAAAAAAGTGAAATATTGTTTTAGATGTATATAACTGTTCTAAATCTATAGGCCTGACTCGGAAAGTAAATTAGCTCGTAATTGTGTTTCAGAAATTAGCTCATTTGTATGCATGTGGAGAAAGCTTCACTGCATTTTTACGCGAGCTGTTTTTATACGTTTTAGTTTTTGATTTAATGTATACGTTCCTGTAAGCAAGTTAAGTGAAAGTAATTGGGTTTTGAATATTTTGAGGGTGTATTTTACGCAAATATGCTGCTTATCTGTGTCTCTGATCTTGTTCTGTCGCTATGACAACAGGTAGGTGAGGGAAGAATTATATTTCTTGTTCTGTTGCCATGACAATAGGTAGGTGTGAGACAAGTAGTATATATCTTGTTCTGTTGCCATGACAACAGGTAGTAGTACATATCCTCAAATTGGAGATAGATGTGATGGATCTTCATCTCAAGACAAGCCAATAGTTGGGTGTTGGGATGTATTTTTTTTATGACCAGGTGTTTTGGAAAAAAGTCTTTAGTATAAATTTAACATGCTGTTTATGAAATTCTACTAAGTATAAGGTTAAAATATGAAATTGAGACAATTAGGGTGTTTGTACTGGGGAGAGCCATAGACTGGTCAGACCAAAGGATATTGATGGGTTGGGGATAGAAATATTTGTTCATGTGTAGAAGGAAATTAGCAAGGAAATGGAAAAATGAAGAAATGGTCAAGCACGAAAATCAATCTCATTAAAATCAGATCTTAGTTCTCGCTTCCGTTAAACAAAGATCTGAGGACAACCCATTATGGGTCACGTCAGAATGACCTTTCATCCGACCAATCGTTGATAAAAGTGGCAAAATTCTCGGCAAGCCTTGGAATTTTTCCACTTTTATCAACTTGTGTTGATATATTTGATATCAAAAGACACTCAGGTGAGATTCTCTACATCAATGAGTGTTGATATATATGATATCAAAAGACACGAGGGTGAGATTTTATTTATCATCCAACATCATTCTTCCAACTTTTTCAATTTGTAGACAGTAATTAGCAGTGTTTTCAGTGTAAAAAGTACTGCTAACAGCTTCAGTAGCAGAGCCATTAGTGATGTCATTTGATTGTGACGTCATGGTAATCAGTGATGTCACAATCGTCTGCAAAGCATTGTGATGTAATTTCATTGCAGTGATATCTAAAGTGTAGATATCGCTTGATCTAATCCAAGCGATATCTCCTGTGGGAGCGAGTTTTGGATGATAAATTCTAATACGTGTATTTTCCAGGGCAAGTATCATCTGTGAAGATCACCCTTGTCAAGGGCAGCATTGTTGATCAGAAGGTAGGAAGTCTGGACTTATGTCTTTTTACACATAAAAGTGTGTAAAAATATGAACAAAACAGACTATTGTGAAAATGAGCATAACCAGGTGTTAGTAGATCACCTTGACGACAGGTGAAAACAGGTGCTTGAAACCCACGTGCATGTGATTTGTCAGTGGTTAGTGATTTGTGAGTGACATTGTGGGATAGTGAATCATCGTCAAAATATCAGAACGTAAAAGTAACATATTCTCTTCTCAAACAACAACTTACATGTCATTATTATTATGTACACAAACATAGCTGTTATTTTTATTGTTGTTTTGATAACTTTTTTCCAGGCTAATTTGCATAATGCCTATAGCCTGTTTCTGCCATGTCAATTTGGACTTAGTTTTTGAATGTTGAAAGTGCCTACAAATTACCTCCTGTAAAGTACATTTTGTATTGAGCACTGAGATAAAACTAGCAAATCCAGACTAGTACTTTTCCAGTTGTTTTGTTATTTCGTATTTACATCTACGTAATGCTTTGTGTCGATTATTAAATCCAGCAAAACATATTTTTTTTCATTTCCATGAGTACTTTAGTAGATGAGTTCAATAGCACATATTAGTGTGTCCTTATGTGTGGTACCCGATGACTGTGAAAATGGTAACAGCAAAATGTCAAGCCTGAGAATGGATGATTTGGTCACGCTTACCTGCTTGACATGTATATTTGTTTGTAATTAACTTCAATCAAACAGTTTTAGAGAATTCTAGTATCGACTTGTCACATCAACCTCTTCTTAACAGTCTTCTGTCCATGGGAGAGTAGTCAATTTTATTGTCATGACCTGCACGCTTACTTGGTGTCATCGTATCCCAATTGCGTGGATCCATGCGCATGATATCAATCACTGGTTTTCTGGTCCAGACTCGATTATTTACAGACCGCTGTCATAAAGCTGGAATATTGCTGAGTGCAGCGTTAAAAAACAAACAAACAAACAAACAAACAAACAAACAGTGGCCACCTGACCCGAGAACCTACCGGTACCATCCACGGATAACTAGTTATGGTGCATTTGTTCCCCATTTCAGGTAGACGTGGTTGTTAACTCATGCACCCCGAACTTGAACCTGTCTAGCGGCCCGTTGACGAGAGCAGTCCTGGCAGCCGCAGGGGAGACAATCCAGGGTGAGTGCAAGCAGACGTACCCCAATGGAATCAAGCCAGAAGAAGTCGCTGTGACGAGTGGAGGCAAGATGAGCTGCAAGCAGATCTTCCACATAACGCTGAATGATTGGAAACCTGATGATGCAGAGCTGGAGAAGGTAGGATGTTTGTGCACATGTATTTTTGAAAACTCCTCACAGCATTGCCTCTTTTCGTCCACATTGAAGGCATCGCAAAGACAACACTACCATGTGTGGAGCTTGGAATTCTCTTTTAACTCTATTTGTTTTGTGACAGATTGATATCTATTTTTAGCCAATACCTAAGTTGGGAGTGCCACTTCGATGAGAGCCCAGTACCTCATTACATTTTTGAGTAATATTTATCTATTTATTTATTTATTTATTTATTTATTTATTTATTTATTTATTTATTTATTTATTTATTTATTTATTTATTTATTTATTTATTTATTTATTTATTTATTTATTTATTTATTTATTTATTTATCTATTTATTTATTTCAGGCATTCAAGAATGTGATCCACTTGTGTCTGAAGACAGCATGTCAGGGAATCCATTCAAGCATCGCCATCCCGATCCTTGGCTCTGGAGTTCTGAAATATCCACCTCAGTATGTCACAAAGTGGGTGTTTGAGACTATACGTAACTTTGGTGCCCGGAATCCTGCGTGTTCATTGGCTGAGGCCAGGATTGTTGTTCGTCCAGAAGATTCGAAAAATATACAGGTGAGATACTGTTGAGCAGTAACACAACGTGGGGCTTTGAAATGATACACGCCATTAATCAACATTCAGTGAGTGAGTATGGTTTTACGCTGCTTTTAGCAATATACCAGCAATATTACGTCGGGAACACCAGAAATGGGCTTCACACATTGTACCCATGTGGGGAATCGAACCTGGGTCTTTGGCATGATGAGCGAACGCTTAACCACTTGGCTTAATCAACAAGAAGGTGGATTGATTAAGATCTCAAATATAATCCATGATCACAGGCAGCCCTATGATCCATGCTCTGCAGGGTTGTGTCCCTTAGCCATGTCAGGATCCGTTACTATTACAGTAACAGTTGGGGGCCTGATGTATTACAACAGTTCAAAACACTGTTGCAATCAGGGTAGAACTATTTGAATAGTAGAACTATATTTCAGTTTTAAAAAAAATAATTTTCAGATAATATCAATACCATATTTTAGAAGATTATAATAAGAAATATGATGTTGCCTATTGAATAGTCTGTAGAGGATAACATGGAAGACAGTATATAAAATACACACCTGGAAAAAAGTAGGTGCAATTTTATCAGATGAACCCGATTATTCTTGAAAAATAATTATGATGTCTCAAAACCAAAATGATATGTATTAATATGGACTAGCTGCCCTCTTGTAAAAAACATCTCACGCTCTAAGGATATGTGTCAAGGTCATAGGGACTGTTTTATAAGGCCAAACAGAAATTTAGCTGCGGTTCCGATTACACTTCCTTCAAAATTAGGGTAGGTAGGTTGGGATTTTTAGGGAGGTCAGTTATTTTTTTACACATGTTTAAACTTGTAACATAAAATGTGAATTTGCAGCAGAAGAACAGGAAAAGATACAGAAATTTTAAAAGATATTTTATGGTTTGATGGTTGAAATACTGCTTGAACTCAAGAGAAATAAATCCAACATGATTGGACCTTAGAACATACAATAAAACAATTAAATAAGTACTACCGTATTCGACGTAATAAGCGCCCTGCTCTTATAAGCACCCACAGCAATATTTGCTAATATGTTGGCTAGTGAACAATCCCAATTAGCACCCCTTCCGATTGATCAATGTACAAAAGACTTTTTAATTCATGTATAATACATACTCATGTGTTAAATGCACCCTTAATTATGGGCAATTAAAATCTGGAAAAATATATCTGTCATAAATAAACATTTCAGGCTGTCAGCATAAATCTCGAAATTAACAATCTTTCAACTCTGTTCTTTTCACTACAATAATATTCTTATAACAGCCCCCTAATTTTGAGAGTGCCCTGGGCGCTTATTACGTTGAAAATGGTAAATGAGTAAGGCTGCTATTAGAGGGGAGGGGCATGTTGACTACTAGTACAGACTGTACCAAGTGTGCTGTGTGGGATGTTCCAGGCCCTGGAGAGTGCCGGCGCCGGTGGTGCGCAACCTGTCAGTGCCACTCCCTCTATTGCAGGTAAGGAGCTCCGAAGGCAATACCAAATAATGTGTTCTGGAGACTACATGGAAACAATTCTTTTGGACAGGAATCTAAAGCTAATAAAAGCACTTTGAAGCAGTCATTCAGTTATATCAAATGTGTCCTTGTGTTAGAAAGATTGTGTGCCATAGTCAAATATTTCAAATAAATAAGATATATTACTCCTACATGATACTTCTCTGCCTGAAGATCTGAGGAAACCTCCACAAGTCATCTCAGGTGCATCTTCCCGAGGCAAGAGCGTTTACTGACTTTAAAAGTCCAGTTTCCACCCTTGCCGAACTAGGCTGGAATTCCTGGGTTCAATCGTAGTGCCACCAGTGGCTATTACCAGTAATGTCTTTTCTATTTTCTCCTATTGACCAATCAGATTCAACCTCTCGTATCACTTGCATTTGATTCAAACAAAACGGTGGCGCCCAGTCAAGACGATCTGATCAATATTCAAGATCTATATTGTGATCAAACGAGTCTTACATCGCGAAGTGCATCAAATCACGTGAGCACCTTGATTAAAAGCATGAAAAGATATAGAAAATATCGATTTAGCGGTGCACATGCTTTGCAAATCCTGCAGTCGACCGAAATCTGCATGACACTTTACGAATCGGATTTCGATTTCGGTGCGCAATTTTGATTGGACTATGCATAGACTTGTTAGCCCAGCCAAAATGTAACTCCATAATACCAGCCTAGTTCGGCAAGGGTAGAAACTGGACTTTTATAGTCAGTTAACTCACTTGCCTCGGGAAGATGTGTCAGGTGAACCCTGAGCGACCTTGACCCCCAATCTAAATGAAGGGTTTGTTGGTCCGTGAGCCAATCTGATGCCAGATTCTAATACAATTCAGCTTTGCACCTCCATTAATTCCATTCAAATTTTTGTTTTAACAACATTCCTTCGAAGGAGCTCCCATTCCGTGGCACTCAGAAACAACTGGGTGTATGAAATATTCACAACAAGTAATGGCATGACCTTAATTATTTCCATTTGGAACTGGTCATTTTAGTTCATTCTTGAGATACAGAAATTTAGTATGCTGGCTGCATTTCTCCCTTGTACAGAAGATTAAGAAACATCAGCACTGATTGGCTGATTAGAAGGGTCCCCAACTGCACCCTCCTACAGTGAAGCTGTTAAATATTCATGCATGAGGTATCGTATTTGAGTAAAAGATCAGATTTTAATGAAATTGTTTGATTATCGTGACCTGTTGGGATTCTAGGCCAGTGAAGTTAGGTAGAATGAACAAATGTTTGACCTGGCTGAGTGTATGTCACCATGCCCTAACAAAGTGGATTGTTGCTCATGCTATCAACCACTGGTTTGCCAGGACTGTTCATGCTTCTGACAAGGCCACTGTGACATGGATGAAATATTGCTGACTGTGGCATTAAACTGTTCCCTCACTCACTTAAGTTATTCCGGCATCATACTGACGGTCCCCATGGGGATTCAGTGTTAGAATTGGTCCCCAGCAACCTATGCTTGTCGGCAGAGGTGACCAAATGATTGGATGGTCAGATTTGTGACTTGGCTGACAGCCTGTCATCGTACCCTGATTGTTGTGGATCCGTCCAGACCTGATTGTCTACAGGCCACTGAGTGAGTGAGTGAGTTGGGTTTTACGCCGCTTTTAACACTATTCCAGTTATATCGCGGAGTATCAGCTTAATGTGGGAGGAAAGCCCGAAGTGATGCAGGTCTCAGACGTTTACCACTTTGGTGAAACCCACGAGCACGGGTATGGTGCTGACAAACCTAGAAACATAATCGGGGCCTCACCGGGATTCCAACCCACAATCATAGGTTTCTGGCGTGCCCAAGGGACGCAACTCTGCACAGCAAATCGCAACGCCTTAGACGACTGGGCCACTCGTGCCCCCTACAGGCCACTGTCATATAGCTGGAATACTGCTGTGTGCTGCGTGAAACAATCAAAACAATCAAACATCATATATTGTATTAAGGTGTGAAACAACTCCTGTATTTCCTGTTGTTTAAGAAAACCTGCTGTGTCCCCCCGAGTGGACTCCCATGGCCCATGACACCTACTTCGAAGTGATCCCGGTCACGCCAGGAACCCAGGAATACCAGGATGTGGCGACTCACTTCGGTCAGTCGATGGGATCACATACCATCGTGTCTGTAAGTACCTAACTGTGGATTATCAAGCATAGATTGACAGTAGACACTAGGGCTGGGACGAGTCCAAATTTACTCCCCGGGTACCCACCCCCTATTACCCGACCCTACACGGGTACCTGCTGTAGGTCTCAGGAGATGTCTCAAAATGTCTGATTGGGAACATTTTTATCATAACCCTGCCTAATAAGTATTTAGATACACGCATTAAACAATCTGATCATTCATACACTGAAGTTGAATAAAGTTATATCTTTATTCAACCATATGAAAAATCAGAAGGAATGTGTGCATAGTCAGAAAGAAATGCGAACATTAGTGACTAGTAGTGTAACCATAGGGTTCTAGATAATTTTTGTCATTAAACAATATATCACGTGACTAACCACAGGTCTGGGTAGTCCTGCGGGTACCCGGGTCCTACTCAGTCTCCACCCGACCCGAGTACCCGAGTTACCCATCCCAGCACTAGTACACACTGATAATGGACTTCACGTATTAAGTGAGTGAGTATACTTTTATGCTGCTTTTTGCAATATTCCAGCAATATCATGGTAGGGGACCACAGAAATGGGCTTCAAACATTGTACCCAAGTCGTGAGTAAACGCTGTAACCACTAGGCCACCTCACCACCCTTTCATGCATTTTTTAATATACTTCCTTTCCCATATTGACCCTCAATGGGGATTCTTGATTAAAGTACTATCAAAAATGCTCGAAAAATGCTTTTTCTCGTTAAAAAAGGATAGAAGTATTCACAGACTGTTGCTATTGTTATATCAATAATTACCAATCGACCTACTTGTGGTGTGAAGTATTTCAGTCACAATTTACAAACATTCGAAAGAAAACAGCAAGTTCAGATTTATTTAGTCAAATAAAAGAAGCGTGAAACGGACTATAGAAATATGCGCCAACTCAGGTGACATTTGTTGATGTGAGGTCATCACCTCAGGACAGGTGTTAGGTAATTACCTCAGGTTAGTTATAGGCCGTTTCATACTTGCATGACAACACACAAATATTTACAAAGTTTATCATCATTTTACCTGTAAAAGTACATTTTAAGGCTTATTACATTGTCAGTTAGGATAGGCTAGATTAGGTAGATTTGCGTTATTTCAATATATGCTATTTTCATAGCATTTTCGACAGTAATTTAGTGTAGCAACCAGCTGCCATTCTTATGGTAAGAGGGGCGGTCGGGTAGCCTAGTGGTTAAAGCGTTCGCTCGTCACGCCGAAGACCCGGGTTCGGATCCCGACATGGGTACAATGTGTGAAGCCCATTTCTGGTGTCCCCAGCCGTGATATTGCTGGAATATTGCTAAAAGCGGCGTAAAACCATACTCACTCACTCACTCACTCTTATGGTAAGATTCAACTGAAGGGATAAGGTGACACGCTCGGCGACTTGGTTCACCTAGTGTCATCATACCCCAGCTGTGTGGAACATTACTCATAATATCAATCACTGGTTTATCTGGTCCAGACTTCATTATTTACAGATCGGCATCATATACTGGTGATATTGCCAAGTTCTGTGTTAAACAAGAAACAAAACAAACAGATCCTATCCTGACCTGCCTTGAAGCTATTTCCCTTCACAGAAAAATTAAAAAACTTCAGCAGGAAGAAAAGAAGACTGTTCTTATGATTTGATCTCAAACTCATTAAAATCCCATTAGGGGTCACGTCAGAACGACCTTTCATCCGACCAATCAGAGCGTTGCTTACCAGATCATGAAAGTGACAGTCGAATTGTGATTTCTCATCATGCAACCTCGAAAACTTTAACATGGGGTATTCCGAACGATAGTTATGGGCTTAACGACTGAATCTATACAATCTAGACCATATATCAGCCATTCCAGAATGTTCTTTTGTTCAGGTTTCAAATTTTTAAGCGAGAACTTGTCAAAATATGTTTCGAAGCGTAGTCGCCAATTTGAAATTAGAGCTGTAAAGCATGAGAAAGCTGCCTTCTGATTGGCTAATGTGGACTTCTTGTCAGTAATTCCATTGGTCGGTCAGAGTTCGCGAAATGTTGGTCTGACGTGACCCGGAATGGGATGTCCTCAGATCTTTGTTTAGCGGCAGCGAGAACTGAGATCTGATTTTATTGTTGGTTGTTGTTGGTTTGTTGTTTAACGCCGCACTCAGCAATATTCCAGCTATATGACGGCGGCCTGTAAATAATCGAATCTGGAACAGACAATCCAGTGATTGATATCATGAGCATCAATCCACGCAATTGGGATCGATGACATGCATCAACCAAGTCCCGTTAGTCGCCTTTTACGACAAGCATAGTCACCTTTTATGGCAAGCATGGGTTGCTGAAGAACTATTCTACCCCGGAATCTTCACAGGTCAGATCTGATTTTAATGAGATTTGAGTTAACTTGGTCATATAACGTTTCAGATTGAGCGGGTCCAGAACCGGACACTCTACATCCAATACATGGCCATGAAGCAGAGGCTGGAGGTGGATAGGCCTGGTCTTCAGAATGAGCGGATGTTGTGGCACGGCACCAGTGAGGATGTCACCATCAACATCAACATGAGGGGATTCAACCGCAACTTCTGCAACAAGAATGGTAAGACCATCATAGGCTCCAGGTCGGTTTGACTTCCATTAGCAATATGCATTCAAGGTCACATCATTGCACCCTTCCCTGACTTGTGATGGATGCTGATGCTGAAATAGTCATACAGTTTATGTACTGCAGGGGATTGGTGCCACAAATGGTTAAAAAAATATAGATTTATTTCAGTTTTCATTAACTGAAAGTTCAGGATTGCTAATTTCGCAACAACATTCCATCTATCCAGATGTTTCCCTTTATGGCGTCTCCTTGGAAGCCATTAGACCTATGACACTAGATCTACAAATAGAAGCTCCGAGCTTCCAATTCTGAACATAATAGCTGCTTTCCCTGTTATAAACTTTTACCCTGCTGTAGTAATTAATGTCACATTTCTGAGTTTTCCCCAACACAAAATCTAATTCTTTAACAAAATACGAGCAAAGGTCTCTCTAAAGTTTGCCCTTAAACTTGGGTCTTATTTTAAACATGGCTGCCATGTCAGCCATATTAAAAATATCATTTTCCTGTTTTGCCCATTTTCAGCCATTGTTAAATGTAGCACTTTGAAATTTGATAAGCATTAAGTATGACTAAAAATAAGTGCGTATTTGTGTATTTTGACCTTCACTTGTACCATATAGGCTGCAACTTTAAAAATAATTTAGATTTTGACCCTCCAAATTTAGTTTTATTGTATTAATGTGTAATTCAATGTATATGCATTGTACATCTTCAAGATCTAATGTTGCAAAAACTAAAAAAGATATTTAGGTGAGCTACAGGGCCTTGTCATTCAGTGTTTGCAATCAGGTTGGCAATGGATCCACATTTAACAAATCCTGAAACAAGAACAAAATCTTGGATGGGACTAGTGATGACAAACTAACTGAGATGCCTGTCTCTATGAAACCATTACTACAGTCTCCTCTATTCCTTCTCCAGTGATGTACGGTGAGGGTGTCTACTTCGCACTCAACTCCAAGTATTCCGCCCAAGACCAGTACTCCAAGAAAGACCAGCAGGGTCACAAGCGGATGTACCAGGCCCAGGTGCTCACTGGGGAGTTCACCGCGGGGACCAAGGGCATGAGGCACCCTCCCCCCAAAGACCCTAGCACCCCCCATGATGCCTTCGACTGCCTCGTCAACCGTGTCAGCAATCCAGAAATATTTGTGATATTCCATGATGCACAAGCATATCCAGCATATCTGGTCACGTTTACTGACTGATGTTATCCCGTTTACTGACTGAGGTTATCCTGTTTACTGACTGAGGTTATCCCATTTACTGACTGAGGTTATCCCGTTTACTGACTGATGTTATCCCATGTACTGACTGAGGTTATCCCGTTTACTGACTGAGGTTATCCTGTTTACTGACTGAGGTTATCCCATTTACTGACTGAGGTTATCCTGTTTACTGACTGAGCTTATCCCATTTACTGACTGATGTTATCCCGTTTACTGACTGAGGTTATCCCATTTACTGACTGATGTTATCCCGTTTACTGACTAACGTTATCCCATTTACTGACTGAGGTTATCCAATCTACTGACTGAGGTTATCCCATTTACTGACTGATGTTATCCCGTTTACTGACAAACGTTATCCCATTTACTGACTGATGTTATCCGTTTACTGACAAACGTTATCCCATTTACTGACTGATGTTATCCGTTTACTGACAAACGTTATCCCATTTACTGACTGATGTTATCCGTTTACCGACCGAGGTGATTTGTGGGTCTCCCCTGGAGTTCTGAAATGTACAACAAGTCGGTGTGGCTCAGGTGGGCTTATTCTCAAGCAGACAGAGTCTGTCTGCTTGAGAATAAGCCCACCTGAGCCAGGTCAATTTCATATATGTGACCATGAAGTAAAGCAAATCTAAGAATAATGTTGATATTTCAGTTGTTCATTAACTGCAACTGGATACTTATAATCAGGTAGGAATTTTAATTTTAATCTCTTTAATATTTGAAAAACGAGTAATTCATGGAAATCGTCTGTATGATGCAACATATATAATTTGTCAAGATTAAGAAATTTCCAGATAAACAGAATCATGTCTGCTTTTGGAGTAATCTCCATTTTGTTGTAATAACATGAAGTCTCAGATTATCTTTAATGAGTAAACATTAAAATGCAATTAAAGGTATGTATTCAGAACACTTGAGGTAAACAATATCTCTGATATTTATTTTGATTATTTGGAATCCATTTAGAAGGGACTGGGTGCATTCAGTGTAGATCCTGGACTAAATTGTCTGGATTAATTAATATCAGATCTTTTACTCCAATACAATACCCTTCTGCCTGCAGAAATTTGTAGGACACCACCTCGCGTCTGGTGAACTTTCTAATCAGCCAATCAGCATTGAGACCTCTAAATTCTCGGTATGAGCACCAAGTGTTCAGACCAACTTATCAGGTTTCTGTATCTCAAAAACTAACTACAACGACCAGTTCTGAATGTAAATAATTAAGCCCCCAGTTGTTTCTGAGTGCCATGTATCTTGACAAAAAAACGACCAGGTCCAAATGAAAATACTTAAGGTCATGCTATTACATTGTTGTGAATATTATACACCCACTTGTTCATGAGTGCCATGACATGTATCTTGAAAAACAAAACCGACCAGGTCCAAATGGAAATAATTAAGGTCATGCCATTACAATGTTGTGAATATTATTCACCCAGTTGTCCCTGAGTGCCATGGCATCTTCAACAAATGGAAGCTCCTTCGATAGAATGTTTGTGGTCTGTGTGTTTGTCATTTAACAAAAAGAAATAAAGCTGAGTCATTTTAGAAAGCTGACATCTGATTGGCTCAAGAACTCACACAGCCTTCATTCAGACAGCTGGGTGGTCAAAGGTCACTCAGGGTTCACCAGGCGTGACCTTCTATGGAGGTGTCCTCAGGTCTCAACACAGAGAGGTATCAGATCAGACTAAACAATCTGATTTAATGAGATTGGGATACTGTTTACCAAACTGATAGAAGGATTTGGCAGCTTTCATCAATATTTCACTTTTTGGCAATCCTTATGAGTACCTATGTTGTAAAGTAACTTGTTTGTTTGTTTTTTGTTTAATGCCGCACTCAGCAATATTCCACCTATATGGCAGCGGTCTGTAAATAGAGTCTTGACTGACAATCCAGTGATTGACATCATGAGCATTGATCCATGCAATTAGGATAAGCTGGCATGACATGCATCAACCAAGTCAGCGAGCCTGACCACCGATTCCGTTAGGTGCCTTGTGCCATAAGTCTGGTCCCCTTTTACTTGAAGCATGAGTTGCTGAAGATCTATTCTAACCCGGATCTTCAGGGGTCAGCAAAGTAATATCAGATTCCAAAATATCAAAAACTTCAATGAACACCCACTTATTATTCATGTTTGGATCAAATATCATTTCCCATCCATCACCTTGTCTCAGTGCCTTGTTTTGTGAACATAATATCAAAGACCATATACCGGTATATGGTCTCTGATTATATATTTCTTGACATAGGAACTTCTAGTGTTTCAGACATGGATGCATTAAGTAGACGGAAATGTCGGAGTAACTCTCCATTCCTTAAAATAATAGAGCAGTGTCCCCGCAGGGCCAGAGGTCCATTATATTTAAGAGTTGAGAGTTACGAGGATATTCCCCTACCTAAAACATATCCCTACTTTTTCACTTTGACAAAATATTCTCTTGTTGAAAATATTTAAAAAATATACCAGAACTCTTTGTAGACTGTATTTATGCTGTGTGAGTCGTTCTTGCGTGAGGCACAAGGAATTTATTCTCTGCCGCTGTTGCACGTGCGCCACGCTCCATCGCGAGCTGACATTTACAATGCATGGTACACGGCTTGACATAATTTTGTGGGGCCCTAAACTAGTATTTATTAATCGCTTGCACATTGTAAATACATGCTGATGGGAGTGATTGGAAATTTTAGACCCCCCCGAACAAGGATATATATTTTTCCTGATTTGTTTTTTCTCGTCAAAGGTTTATCTATTTGCTATAAATATGAACATTGTTTAGGTAACATGCTCTAACACAATATTATATACATATTATTTTGAGCTTTAAAGCATTATGCAAACTTATGAAAATATTTAATAGTTAATTTCACACTGTACGCTCATGTGTTGCTGTAGTTGAGGTTGACAATTACACATTCTCAAATCAAACGATGTGTGTTCAAACCCCGCTGGCGACACATGTTTTCGGAAAATAATTGAAATTATTCACTTGTCAATAAATGTAAAAAAAATATCCGTCTATTCCAAGTGGAAGTTAACTGAAATGTTTTGTTGTTGTTTTTTTCCAATCATTTTATTCCAGTTTCAGTGGTTACATACACAGTGATATATACATATATAGCATTATTAACAATTTGACACCGCATATTTGGAGGATAGGCCTTGATCTTGTAGGATCGAGCAAGATGTTCTGGCATGAAAGTAGTTAACACCATATTTATGAGCAATCGTAGAAAGATAAGCTAATAATAAAAGAATAAACAGTACCGAATGAAAACTGAAATGTTAGTTCAAGATAATGTATGATTGATAAACAACTCTCCATTCCTGAAAAATAATGGAGCGTTCAAACAATAGAATGATGTCACGGATGTGGGTTGCATTAAATTTATGACTAAAATCTGACATTATTACATGCATTTGACCTTGCGTAATTGCAATACACAATAATCAGTCAGTATTAATAGTATCAATACTTGGCCAGTAACGTGTGTCCAGTGTGCTATGTAGCAATTGTCATCTCTCAAAAAATGTTTTCATATAACAGGGAAGTTTGTTAAAAGGGGTAGATAACTCTACCAGGCAAAGAAATGATCATTATTCCAGTCCAGTTTGTTTTGTGTTTTTTGAATAAGCCGAATCTGAAGAGTAAGAATTTATTTAAAGAATATTGTTTGGGGTTGAAAACAATCTCATTAAAATCAGATCTAAGTTCTCGCTGCTGCTAAGCTTTGTTTAGTGATAGCGAGAACTAATATCTGATTTTAATGAGATTGGGTTGAAAATAGTCTTGTTTAACATTAAATATACATTAATTTGGGATTTGTATTTATATTTAAATTTTTAGTTCAAGAGTAGATCAAAATATTTTAGAAAAGAAACCTTAATTAATTCCTGACAATATTGTATATTTTAAATTTTGTTTCTTTATATATTGACTTTAAAAAAACCTTTTAAGACAAGAAATTGAATTTGTATGTCTTTCACCTCACTAACAGGTGGAAAACCTCCCTGAGCTGTAGAACTCGACCCGGAGGGACACTTGTCTTTGCCTGACCATGTATGTTAAGTGTGTATATATATGTGTATATATAATATCTGCATTTACTCAACCCTTTCTGGTGTGTGCTTGGGCATTGGGGGAATTCCTGTGGTGCAAAATGTAAAAAAAATATTTTTTTAAATTTATCTAAAATAAAACTTGTGAGACATTGTTTGCCTAGTCACAGGTTGTGGATCCCCGCCTCAGTGTTTGTACTTTAATATTACTGCAACTCCTATATATAACCTTTATAGAATTTATAATGGATGAATAAATATATAAAGTTTGCGATTTATTATTTTTATAAGTTGTATTGAAAATATGTTTATTTTGCTACAAGTTATCAAGGTGTTTCTAACAATATTAAACTGATATCAAACTGAGTACATAGGGATAATTTTGTTTTATTTTCACCCTTGAAAATCTGTACAGCAAATAAAACATTGTTCAGTTGTACAGATTGTCTTGACGGTGCTTTGTTCAGTTGTTCAGATTGTCTATAAGGTGCTTTGTTCAGTTGTACAGATTGTCTTGATGGTGCTTTGTTCTGCATATATTTTATTGCTAAATGTTTGTCATTGTATGTATCAAGTTGTTATTTATCATATAAAGTTTGATTGTGACGGGGCTGTACGTTTAGAATTGTTTTTTTTTAATATTTGCTTGGACATAGCCGAAATATTTGAGCTAGATTTATCAACACTATGAAACTTTTTTTAATTTCTTTTTGGTTTCCTATTAAAATTATATTTATCTCAGTCATTTCCACATTTTCTGTGTTTTGGCCGATGATGAATAGTGATGTTTGGTTCCAGAGCAGATAAAATAACATCACTGTAGTCTAAAACATTCCTAAAGAAAGCAATTTGACAAAATTAAAATAATATTTTTTTTTGCATGATATGGATAACTTGTGTTCAGCTATGAGAGAGGGTCACATGACTAGACTAGACCCTGCCTGGGACTGGTCCATTCAGGATTGATTTATAGCATATTCAACTTGTAATCCCCACATGGTCTTTGGTATGTTGAACATTTACGATCTCTGGAATGTGAACCATATATTGTCTTTGGTATGTCATCCATTTATGGCCTCTGGTATATTAACCACATGAATGGTGTGCCCTGATCGTGTTTCTAGGTTTGTCAGCTCCATACCCATGTGGGTTTCCAAAGTGGTACTTAAACGTCTAGGACCTGCATCATTGTAAGATGACATGCCCTGGTATAACTGAAATACTGTTCAAAGTAGCGGATCTCATAAATATCTATGTATAAAACTTTGTTTCTTTTGGGGTATTTAGTCAAGATTCCACAATGTTGTTTCATTACACTGTTTTAAAGTTAAAGCTTTACACATGTGTATTGTAGCCTGTACTTAGCTTTCAAAAGAAATCCTATTCTTTGTTGTAAACATTTGACAGGAAATAAAATAGGTCTTTGTGTATAATTTGTGCTTATTGTCTCCAGGGTATGCTATACGGGGGACATAGTAATAAGCTTGTGCGTCCGTCAGTCCGTCCAACTGCCTGGCTGTCCGTCTGTATGTTTGATTGTCCGGCCGTCATCATTTTTCGTCCGGATCATATCTCTAAAAGTAATAGGTATTCTTTCAAGAAACTTACACGCACAAACAAAAAAACAAGACGGGAACATATGGTACAAGTGAAAATTGCATCGGATTTCATTGTCACTGATGCGTAAAAGATGTCAAGATGCTTAATGCAGTCGATATACATCAATTGTTATTTAATCTTAGTCAATATTTTCATAGGTTGAAAAGTTCACAACGGCCTTGCAGTATGATGTTTTAGCCGAACACGGCTTCCACACCTATCTCTTCTGAAATATGTTGTATGCAGTTACGTTACAATTCTGATTTTCATTTCGAAAATCAAAATCAAAATGGCATCCAATGCATCACTAGTTAAAAACGTCCATTGTCCAGTAGGAATATAGGGACCCACTCACGTCACAGTTGGGGGTAATACTAACAAGCATGAAACGCTCATACCCCCTGTTAATACCCCCTTTTGCAGTCGAAGTCAATGTCATTGCCATGGAAATTCGAAAAATATATTTTTCAAAACTCCCAAAATATGAAAAAGCACCAATTCACCACTAGACCTATCTATATGCCAAGTTTGGTTAAGATATCTCTCATGGTTTTTGAGAACTGCTCAGGAAACGAAACGTGACAGACAGACAGCACCCATTCCTATATCACCCTTCCAGTTCGTGAATAATAATTTGATTATTAGGGGAACACAGGTGGCTCAGTATCCTGTGATTGTAGGTTCGAATCCCTCATTCAACTGGTTCCTCGGCACCGGGAATAGCCTCGTGTGATACAGGAGTAAATTGTTACTTGTGAATAGCTATGAATTCCTGAGCTCACTGATATTTCAATAGCTCGAAACTGGTTCGTGTTTGTGTGATCTGTGAGACACTGAACGAAGCATTCATAATATGTTTTAACAGCTGGTACTTTTGGACACGGTACATCTTACATAAACACCTTAATATTGAAAGCGTGATATGCGTAAAGCTCTGTGTGATATAATTGTCTGCTATCAAATAAGATTAGTGCCCCTGGAATGTTTCAGCACATCGTCAATTATCTGATTAAGTTGATTGAATGGTTGTTATTTAACGAAACACTCGGCACTACTTCAGTTATATGGCAGGCAATCTCATTAAAATCAGATCTTAGTTCTCGCTACCGCTAAACAAAGATCTGAGGACATCCCATTACGGGTCACGTCAGACCGACCTTGCGCGAACTGTGACCAACCAATGGAATGACCAATCAGAAGGCAGTTTTCTCGTGCTTTACGGCACTAATTTCAAATTGGCGACTACGCTTCGAAACATATTTTGACAAATTCACGATTACAAATTTGAAACCTGAACAAAAGAACATTCTGGAATGGCTAATAGATGGTCTAGATTGTATGGATTCAGTCGTTAAACCCGTAACTATCGTTCGGAGTTAAAGTTTTCGAGGCTGCATGATTAGAAATCACATTCCGACTGTCACTTTCATGATCTAGTAAGCGACGCTCTGATTGGTCGGATGAAAGGTCGTTCTGACGAATGGTGTTCGGTGCGTCAGGGAATATCTTCTGAAGATATACCCTTGCCATTGTGTCTTTAAAGGATAAACTTGTACATCATCCGATTACCTTTCTCTATGACAAAAAAATTATTGTTATTATTATTATTATTGTTGTTGTTATTAGTATTTGTTTACCCAATTGCAACTCGTGTCATTCAGGGACACGCTTTCGGGAAGATCCGAGTTGTGTCGAATTTGGGCAACTAATGTAGGTAACGAAAAGATGCAAATATCATCGGAAATCCTCGTCCCTTTCCGTAACCGCAGCAGAAATGGCCCATCGTGTTCAGAAGAGTGACCGGTGCTGCAGCTTGTCCCGGAATGACCCGAGTTGTAAGGAATTGCATTGATGAAGACAAGGCTGCAAAACCTATAGATAACTTTGTACTGTAAGGTGCGGAGGCGGTCATTGATGATTGACGCTCTCTATTTCCTTGTAGAATAATTTGTTCAAGATCAGTCGGTTAGGACACATTCGTCACCACTGGTAGTTATTTCCGCCCAAGAAGGTATGCCGTGTTCCGGAATAGCACGAGTGTCCACGAATTGGTGGTACCGTCTTCCAAGCGGGACACGGAAGTGGCATATGTCGTCAAAAGCGTTTGGCGTCAGTATCTATAAAAATGTATATTGTTGAGAAACGTAGAAATTGGAGTTCTTCATGAAAAGCGTTTATAGTTATCGATTTAGATAACGGTATATATTCCTAAGAAACGTACGTCGTCAGCGTTTTCATATTAGAAAAAATACTTTCATCACAGCTGAAATTTCTTCCAATGACGTCCGTGACAAACGAGTTCATTTCTCAAGTTGAGGGGGGTGGGCTGAGATTTCTCAGACAACGCCAAATAAATGGGAGTCCGACAACTAGTAGTCTAGATCACGTACTTTGTGTACCCCTCTGATAAGTGTACATTGGCACGACTCCCATGGTTGAAGATCTAAATAGATATTGCCTTTTTGAAAGTGGTCAAATGAAGTATATGTTATATTTGGGATTACGGCTTCTTCATAAGTACACTTTATAGTACTTTTTGTGGAGTCCATCCGGGGATTCGAACCAACCAATATGTTTTGTGTATTTTGCGTTTTTTAAATATTTTTGCCCAAACTACAGGATATATAATAATTACGCTAATAGGAATTTTCCTTTGAAATGATTAATAACAAAGTCGGAATAAGTATGTGGTGCACATTTTCCACTTTGAAAACGCATATAAACTGCCGGGGAAAAAGTATACACCAATGTTTGATTGGGGCTAAAAATGAAACAAACAAGAAATGGTTATTCGATGGTGAGGGGCGGTCGGGTAGCCTAGTGGTTAAAGCGTTCGCTCGTCACGCCGAAGACCCGGGTTCGATTCCCGACATGGGCACAATGTGTGAAGCCCATTTCTGGTGTCCCCCGCCGTGATATTGCTGAAATATTGCTAAAAGCGGCGTAAAACCAAACTCACTCACTCACTATTCGATGGGGATGTATTTGATTCGGGTATCATAGTTGTGATCTGGACTTTAAGTTTGCGGTGTTTCGGCGACTGTTTTCAGCCGTTTTGGTAACGTTTGTGATATTTGGTCAGGTGTACACTTTCTTTTGCCCCGCAGAATATTTTCGCTTTGAAGGGGTCACGTGTCATGTTTATCATTGTTGCCCAATATTCCGCCATTTGTATCACTGTAAAATTGTATAGTTTGAGTGAGTGAATGATGTTTTACGGCCCTTTTAGCAATATCCCAGCAATATTTTAGCAACATCCCAGCAATGTTGCGGCTGGGGACCCCGGAAATGGGCAATACGTGTGAATTGTGGTATACATAGAATATGACTGTTTGTTGAGACAAGTATACAATCTCATTAAAATCAGTTCTCGCTACCGCTAAACAAAGATCTGAGGACATTCCATTAGGGGTCACGTCAGAACGACGTCAGAAGTTCGCGCAAGGTCTGACGTGACCCCTAATGGGATGTCCTCAAATCTTTGTTTAGCGGGAACTAAGATCTTATTTTAATGAGATTGGACAAGTATGCTATACGTGTTTTCAATTTTATGACTTTTTAAACAATGTGTGAACTACAGTGCTGTTTCTTTGTATGATGGTATCTGTATATCAAGTCCACATTCAGAACCAAGATAAATTACACTCGATCTCAACAATAGTAGTTTTTATATTCAAGTACTGATCTGACGAACCCAAACTCGATGTACGAGGAAATAGAGAGTTAACACTTTTGATTGGCATTCTTTGAAATAGAGAGCGCCAATCACCCAGAACCGTCTCTGCGTCATATCTTGTTAATGGAGCCATGTCCACATCACATTCGTCACCACTCGCCCCTTTCCGTAACCTGTAAACACGAGTTGGTCACGACTGGTCCACATCATAGCGATTCGTAACCACTCGGGCCATCCCGGGACAAGTCGAAGCACAAGTTACATTCGTATCTTTATTACTTGCCCGTGAAGAGATCACCCGTTTAATAAACATACAGCTGTATTACACATTGTGTAATACCAAAACGCGTGTTTATATACTTTTGGAACACGTTTCACGAACAAATATTGAAAACTCTCAACATCCCTTGGCTTATTCAACGACATTGCGTATGGAGTTGATAGATCACTGAGAGGAGCTTATGCACACTCGATGACCCCAGCAACCTTGATTTGCGATTAGCCCTACGATCATTTTGTGGAACGGACGCCTGAATTCTAAAGGAGGACCGTTGTATGGTATTAAATTCATACGTTTCAACTTTTGACATGTTTGAAGTATTATTCTGTTAAACTCAATTGGACTATGCCGTGGATCATGTAGGTGTCAGCCTATTCATACTCCACAGTATAATTCAAAAAACGTTATACATTGCAAGTAATAAATAAAATACTAAACTCGCTCCCGTGTAAAACCAATTTTATGAAACTCGTGAATAGTTGTGGTATCTGACTCGCTTTCGCTCGTCAGATACCACAACTATTCACTCGTTTCATAAAATTGGTATTACACGGGAGCTCGTGTAGTATTCTATATTTATGATTTAATAACGACCACAACAACGGAAATACGGCCACACCGACCAAGAAAGTCTATTTTTTTCTTCCCTTTAAATCTGTCAACTAATTTCAGAAATGAAAAAAATATAATAAGATGGGACAGTCACCATTTGACTTTATATGATATAATACTTTTTCATTTCTATTTTATTCCACCGTACCGAGAAATGTTCTCCATGGATGACTTAAAAAACTGCCCTGGTGTCGTGTCTGTGCTAATACTCTGTCATCTTGTCCGCATCTATACCTAGCTACCCATGTGATTGTGATATGTAA